TCATTTGGTTGTAATAATGCTTCTTTGATTACACCCTTTACAATATCAGTATCAAAATTTTGATCACTGAAATGCGAAATAAATTGTCAAACTATTTCAAATATCAACATTGATAATCAAAAAAAAAAAAATAACAAATGCCATCAAATGGAAGTAGGCACATATCAGACTTCTAATTAATTACTCTCAATGGTTTTGTTGTCTAAATGCAAATAAATGGAAGCATCGACAGAAAGTAAAACACTTTCGGCCAATAATATTGTCGAATACATAAAGAGATGGTCAATCTCCAGGTTGCATATATATAAATATGAACTTAATAGAATTTGGACCCAATACTTATATTTGAAAGAATTTTTTCATTTTATAAGCATCTGTGGTTTAACCAACTTTAATTTCCTTTCTTAATTTTTTCTTCCATTATTTTGATGATTAAATCTATTGTCATCCATAATCATTCATGTATTTTTTTAAGTTTTAATAAACGAATATCAGACAAGTTAAGTCAGCTTTGATAACTTAGCTTAGGTGTGCCATACTGTTTTTGACAGTTAACCACTATATACCATTTATACAAGGGCTAGCTTAAAAGTTCTAAGCCTGAAAAAAGGATAGATCAATTGGGTTGAAACAAACTTTTGCAATCAACAAGTACAATCATTGAATAAATCATAGACATTAGAAATGCAGCTGTAGTGTTGTTATTGTCTTAGTATCAGACCATCATGTGAACCTACGCATTGAAATCACCAGACATAGACAAAACTGGCTATAGGGCAGTCATCAAGTACCTGCAAATAGAAGGAATAACCCAAACACAGATACATGCCGACATGGTCTCCACTTTAGGGGATGATATCGCTTCCTTTTCCACAGTAAAGAAGTGGGCAGCAGGATTTAAGTGTAGCAGAGAGAGCCTAGCCGATGAACCGCGTCCTTGAAGGCTATCAACAGCAACCATTCAAAAAAACATGGTGATGGGTGATCGATTATTGACCACTCGACATACTGCCAGTGTTGTGGGCATCTTTCATGAGAGGGTTGATCAGCACAGTATCGCCAACTAGTTAGGAATGACAAAAGTTTTTGCAAGATAGGTGCCAAAGCTCTTGACTGCAGATCAAAAACGTGTCCGATTCATGATGCCCTGTGACAATCTGCACCGTTTTGAAGCAGATGCTGATAATTTTTTGGCCAGATTTGTAACCATGGATGAGATCTGTTTCCTAAAATGAAAACAGAACTAGTCAGTCGTCATTTTCCTAGTAATGATGACATGTCAGCTGTGAATGACCTTTTAAGGGTGGCTGAAGAAAATTTCTTCCTGACTGGCATCCAGGCTTTGTAACATTGTTGGCAAAAATGTGTACACCTGGAAGTGGACTATGTAGAAACAAATAGAAACCATCCACTTTGTACAGGTCTTTCAGATAGGCTTAGATATTTACAGCCTGCCCTCATAAGATCAGAACACCAAATAGCCATCATCAGTTAGAAATGTTCAAACACACGATATAAAGTGATTAAACATTATCACTGACATCAATTATCTTGTAGATATCAGGCTTCAACTTGTGTAGGAAATTCATCTCAATTTTCAGTTAGAAATATTCAAGATCCAATTTCCTTTTTATCAAGTAGAAGTGTGATAGCAGCATATCAACTTCAATTTTGTGAAGTTCAATTTGAGTTGCTAGGTTCAAGTAGTATTTTACGAATTCCTTTCAACTTATTATTAGGAACAATAATAATCTCAAATTAGGAATGGAAAAATAGACCTTCATTAAAAAAAATACATGATATAAGAACACTGACAGTGACAGTACATATTTTCTAATCTTTCAGAAGCTAACAATTTTCTTTAATTTAAGATGAATTCGCGCATCATGTCTTAACTTTGTTTAAACAGAAGCACAGCTATTGGAATTTCACTGATTTCTTTCAACAGGAGCTACCATCCTGTCAGATTTTAAAATGTTTACAAGTAATTAATCTGATGAATGAAGAATTATTGTTTTGCTATGGTTACTTCATTAATAAACTATTCATACATCCAGACATTGTAAATCATAATCATTACAAATTAAATCAATTTTTTTGATTATATTTTCTATTTAATGCATGTACTTAAAATTACAAGAACAATTAGTTCGAAGTACTTCAAACTTCCATTAACACAAAACAGTTTTTTTTTTCTGAGAATGGACAAAAGACTTAAATACCGTAATACCATTCAAATACAAGTAAAACTCAACATAATCACAAAAGATGTATTTTGAAAGCCATTATTTTCTTATTTCCATTAAAAACACTGATTACCGACATATGCACAATAGTTAATTGTTGAGACTGAAACATGTGAAATTGAATGGAACAGATTACATTATAACTAAAGGAACAAATCAAGACCGATACAGGTCTGCAATATTAAACTCGCAACCAACAAATCTAATTAGTGCAACAGACTAATAATGCCTTACGGCTATGAAGAAGAGAAACTAATTTCACCAGTACAAAGCCAAAGGAATCACTTCAGGAGATCCCATCTAGCAATTGTAAAAACAAATTAAATGTGTCAAGTATTTCAAAGACATCAAATCTGCTATATGAACCAACAAATGTCACTTGACCTTGAAAGTAAACGAAATGACCATGTAAAAAAAGAGCTTTGAACATTTGTCCATAAAAAAAAGAAATTAGATTTCTACATGAAATATACTATTATTACTTTCTGGAAAGATTATGTATTAGAAACCTCACAGTAAATTTTAATCAAGATTAGCTTTAATTTCCATTTATGTTGATTTTCATAATCTGCCATCTGGATCTGGCTTGCATGCTGTTAGTCAAAAATATGAGAGCATTTGACAAAAGATAAGCTATCATTTCTTCCATTCCCTGCCACAATTGTGACAGAAAAAGGAAAAAAAATATTTTGTATTTACAAATAGCTATAATGATTTTTGGTCCAAGGTTTATCACCATTTTCATTAAAATTCATTATTTCCCAACCTTTTACAAATATTAAATCTACAATAAATATAATAAATTATGATTTTTTTCTGATATTTTTAAACTATTGACATAATTTATGTATACAAAATTCTTGGGGAACAGGCAAAGATTATTTAGACCCCTCTCCCTCCTGGGTAAAAAAAAAGGAGATTTTACGATCAAATCCTTCTTAAATGAAAATTATCTCTACTGATCTTAGCATTTTCTCTATATTTTATAGCTTGAGCTATTAGACTAAGTATCGACAGGTCTCTCTAGAATTACATGAGTAAATCAACCCTTATATTTGCTTCACAAGTAAAGACTAGAACAGAGGAACTATGGCATTTTGGTATAGCTGCTAAATGAAAATAAAATATGCATGTGAGGAAAATTCCAACAGTTAATTATATCATTGGCAACAGGCAAATTCTCAAATGTTATGTTTTTTAGATGACATATGGTAAACATAAAATATCATGTCAGTCACACCTTGTAATTTTTTTTATATAACCTTATATTTCTTATTGATGTTTTCTATTACCGTTCATGTATAACTTCCTTTTTAATACCATTCATTTTCTAATGAAATTAACACTTTGTCTCCATTATCCCACTATATAATATGGTGGCAATCCAAGCTTTCTATACTGTTTTGGGTTTAGGTTTCCATGCTATTTATACCACATACAATATCCCTAAATGTGTTTGAAAATACTACTTCTTAGATTTGGATAGGGGTAAAATGGACATGTATACATAATAAAATAATATAATAATAATAATAATTTATTTATAATGCGCCTATTACCAATATAAACTACTGCTCAATGGTGCAGTTAACATTTTGTGGACATCACACATCGAAAAATAAAACCAGCGGCTGCCAGGCAGAATACGCCCACATTTTCGAGAGATGGATAGAGAACAAGCTAAAAAGAAAGGGATTTTTCCTACAATCGACGGCATAATACGTCCACATGAAAATGTGGGCGTATAAAAAATGAAGAGGCATCTTTCTCACCCTTTCTTCATTGCTCCTAGGTCATGATCATTTTACTGTTTAAGATCTTTGGGGTCAAAGTGGTTAATAATGTATAATCAGAAAAATGGATGATGCTAGAATGCACTACCTTTCTCCCTGCGGGGGGTGGAGGGGTGGACGGACAAATGGTTAAACACATGATGTTACATCACAAGGTCTGTGATTGCGGCATGGTTTAGACTCACAACTTGTTCGAGGCAAGGGGAAGGGTTGTCTGTCGAACTCTGTGGGTAATTATTGAAATAAAATTGAACCATGATAGTCCCAAAATGACCTAGTTTGTGTTGAGAGGATGTTAAACCCCATTTCTCTCATACACCCCAGTACAACTTTCAAACTTGTGTGTCCATAAAGTATGTGACCTGTTTCAATTTCCTTGTTTAGATGTTTATTATTTGGACCGATCTCTAGGTATTTCTAGGTTGTGCTTGTAATTAATTAGATAAAAACTATTTGTTAACTAGTATGATAGCAAAGATTAGCAATGACAATGTGAAATCAAACATAGAAGCCACAGTTTGTGACATAGTGGGAAGCAACAAGAGAAAAAAAAAAGTGTTGCAACCATTTTCTCAACATAATAATTAACCTAGATCTACACAATCATTTTCACTGCAATTTAGGTATTTATCAGCAATGGATTGTAATTTTCATGCATAACTATTTTATGCCTGAATTGAATATTGGCCCTTTTAACCTGTTACATTGTAGGCCACTTTATAATTTAACAACTATGACTGTTCCTATTTCAAATTAATTCTTTAAATTTCTTTTCAGTACACACAGTACATTACAATGCAGGTTTCTTCTGCTCATGTACCAAAAAGAAACATTACCAAATTCTATCCATATAAATGACAGAAAAATTAAACTATAAATATAAATATATTATGGTTACAGCACCATGATCAATACCAAATAAATATTAATACATTTCATTAGCATTACAAAGGCATCTTACCACTAAATAGACAACCTTGCACTGGTCTCAGACAAATTCATGTATCAAGCATCAGAATAATCTATGATAGGGATCCAATATTCACAGTAGAATATTTAACACAGTATTCAATATCAATTAATAACATGTATATATAATTCGCCAGCATCACATGCTTACTAATATATAAATGTCTCTACAGTCCAGCTGTTGCCAGAGAATTGATCTTCGTGTTTGTTATTCACTATAATGTCATACACACACTGAATTAAGCTGTATTCTTTTCATATCGATTGTATTGCCTTTTATATGTACCCATTTATTTTGACAGCTTCTCTATAGCCTCTTTCCTAAAATAATACTTCAATGTAATAATGTAGCTTTGAGCTATAGGCCTACTATGTCTATACATTCCATACCGGTGTGCTCATGTTCTCTTTGGAATACATTACCTTACAATGGATAATTCACACATGGATTACATGTTGATGTGAATTTTTATAGCAGATGTGGCATTTATCTGAATCCAACAAACAGAGAGAGAGTGAGAAATCGGGTTTAACATTCACTCGGCACAAACTAGGTCATTTTGGGACTAACATATGGTTCAATTTTATTTCAACACTTCGCTTGCGCATAGGGGTCTTAAGCAGTGGGCTGAAACCAGGTCCCGAGTTCACAAAGCATTCTCAGACTTAAGTTAAGAATTTACTCAAAATTATTAGCCTTATTTTAACACAAATATAGCCCTTTATAAAACTGTTGTTGTTTTAATGTATGAAATACATCAACAAGAAACTATGTGCAAAGTTTCGTGTTTCTTGATCAAAGATATTTCTCATAAACAGTGATTGAAAGTTGAGTAAATTCTCAACTTAAGTCTGAGAATGCTTTGTCAGAGGTCCCAGAGAAAACCCACAAGGTTGGACAGGCGACCTTACTTCTTGTCACGTATAACCGGGAAATCAAAACAACGCCAGTTGACTCAATGACAGACCATTCGGCCATCCAACACCCAGAATCCAGCAAATAAAATATGTGAAATTGAAAAAAAAAAATTATTACATCAATTGAATAATATCTTAAAGCAAATTTCCAGAGGAGGGTTGGCTGTATTAGGATTCATAATTGTTCACCTTCTGTTTTTCATTATGCAGCAGTGTGCAAGGATAATGATCTATTACACCAATGAACAATATAATTATTTCAGTTACCAAACATTTTGCTCAAAAAAAGGTATGATGTGAAAAGAATTTCAATATTATCAGTTAAACAATTCCAAATTGATGGAAGTTGGTTTAAGTATGAAAATCAAATGATGAAATGTGCATAAATTTTAACATTCTTATAGCATGTTCCACACAAGCCCAAAATTACTCAGAGAGACTACCCGCACAGTCCGGATTAAGGTACATTGGGGGCCCTAGCACACTTAAGCAAATGGGGGCCCCTAACCAGCTCCCCTACCTAGGTTAAGTTTATACTGAAATTGAAACATATCATTTTTCTTTTATAGGACACACATAAAGTACAATGTGAATGCAGCTGCAGCAGTCTGATTGGATGGTTGGAACTCTTGTCGGCACAGAGTGAGATTTCTGTTGCTTAATTCATGGGCTAGAATAGCAGAAAAATGCATTTGCAGCAGTTAAATTTTCTCGGGGAGAGTGGGGTCTCTATACCCCGCAAAGATTGCTAATTGGAAAACACTCAACTGAACTTGATGTATTCTCGAGCTGGAATAGCAGGAAAATGCATTTGAAGCAATTAAATTTTCAAAATAATCTCACTACGGTTCCATCTCCGTGGATTGTAAACGATTGATTGGTTGATTGGAATTTGAGTCAGCCACCTAAGTTAGGCTATGTTAGACCACTTTGAAGTTGCTGTATGATATGGACTGGAATAGCAGGAAAACACTTCTGCACCAACCATATATTTAACGATGTTATACATACCGTCTTCTTTATATTGTATATTATTATTAGCATAGGCCTAGCCTACTTATTCAACAAGGAAGTTAATCAAACATCTATTTCAATTTTACACACCTAACAGGGTTAATTAGCATAAAAGGTCTGACTATTCATTTTATTCATGCAAACCAGTGAGGTGTTACAATAGAAATAGGATATGTTAATACAACTGTCTTAATGCTAGGTCCCCACTATCAAGGTTCGCGCCAGGAAAACGTGTTTGTGATCGTCAAGATTTCCAAATACTCATTGGGTGGGTAGGGTCCTACACGGTAAGCTCAGCTCGTTCGCCTCTCACAGAAGACTGGCACTGCTTCCTGTAACCCGAATTTATGTGGGGCATTTGAGGTCCTGCCACCCTAACATTCATCGAGCCCATAGGCGTGGTCACGCTTGTCATAGGTTATAAATATTGGTGGTTTTTATACACTTTAATAATATGTTCCCCACAGCCCAAAATACTCAGAGAGATTATCGGCAGTCATCTGCTCTTCCTCCCTCCCCCCCCCCCTTGTTCTTCATGCAAGATCAGCAGTCACCATGCTCCTGAGCAATTGGCACGCCAGGACCTACCCTACCGGTTGGTGCAAAACCGTTTAACCTTGTATTAATATCACTGTTCGTCAGAGCATGTACCTTATTGCCAGCACTTACCCGCACATGTGTCAGCGGTTTCCCGCCAAATTTGTAGCCAACTCTTTACTCTTTCAGAAATTCACAGTCAAAAATCATTTCATTTGCTAGAGGAAGGCTATAACGTATCTAATAATCTTGTATTGTTAATAGCAAACCTTGCAGCTCTTTACTTTTTCATAATTCATTATCCAGACTTTGGTTTGTAAAATTTTGTCGGTTTTGTTTTGCGTGTAGTGCGGTGCTTGTGCACTTACTTAGGCTACTAAATTTACAGTCCTGCTTGACAATTTTTATTTTACGTTCTTGGGGTTTGTTTCATCATCGAGTGTTCCTGTAGTGTGACAGCAACACGTAGGACTTTGACGTGTTGGTTTTCTTATCTTGTATTAGGGTTGATAGTTTTCCCCCCTTTTCTTTGCTTTTGTTGTTTAATATTGCCAGTCTTCTTATTCTGAAAGAAATGGCCAAGTTCGGAGCAGAACAGTAGGACGTTAACCCCCATTTCATTTGATTTCTGACAGAAATGATTAATGGGAAATAACTACAGTCTATCTTCAAGAATTCTTTTGGGTTATCCCCCCTACACCATAGTTGCACTCGGCAAACCTCGGTATATTCCGTTACTCTACATCTGCGGGGCTTGCCGAGTGACCATAGTTGGTACAAAACATAAACAATAATACCTCTACATAACTCGAAATTCATAACAAGCAATCATATCTATTAGGTTATTCTGTAAAACTACTATTCCAAACAATGCAATATGGTTCTCGGAATTTTTTTATTTATTTTAGTTTAATTTTGGGTTAGAGAATAGAGCCACGAATTAAAAATGGCAGCCTCCACTAAACAGATTTCTCAAGAAATGGAAATGATGTCAATTTACGTTGCCGTCAGTTTTATTGCCGTGTCTTTTGCATCAATGGTCTCCGTAACCTCCTAATGATGGTAACAAATAACTTCTTATTTAAATCACACAATGTCACACAAGGAATCGATAAGTATTGGGACTCTTTCGGCTTGAGATAAAAAGAGAAATGTAAATTATTTGATTTTATTAGCATATGTAAACCATGACATAAGATAGAGCGTGGTTACTGTAGCCTGTAGCGTAGGTCGTGAGCTACTCCAGTGTCTCACTCACCGAAAGGCCGAATGACACATCTTGTAAAAAGTGTATAAGATTAATGCCAATTATGTAGTACCGGTAGGTAGCATGTGCCAACCAAAATTCAATTTTTGAGCTACAGACCTGAAATTTTGCACACAGTTAGAAAAACACCTGCGAATCATTAATCTTTTTCAATTATGACAATCGGTTCTTAACTTTGTTTTTTGTAGCTAATTTTATATACCCATACGTAAGCAGCGTTTTCCCAAAATCCGTCAAAAACAGGCAAAATTGAAAAAATAATATTTTGACTAACTGAATGACTTTGGAACAGACTCAAATTGTACACAGATGTTCTAGAGACACACATTTACTAAAATCAACCACAAAAATATTGTTTTTACCTTTTATTTTGACAAAATTTAAAGCAAATCGGACATATTTTGTTCCGAAAAAACATAAAAATAATAACTATAAAAAAAAATCATTAAAAATAGTGGAAATTGTTTTTTGATGATTAAATGGAAACTGGAAACATGTTCTCATGGACAGCTATGAAATATCCATGTTCTCGTGGACAGCTATGAAATATCCATGTTCTCGTGGACAGCTATGAGTATGAAATATCAAAAAATAAAATTATCAAAATAAATGCACTGAATCATAACTAACAAAACTCCAGAATTGAAGTTTTCAGTATAAAAATATAAAAAAACAGAACAATTCAGCTAAATATCTACAAAATATTCTGCATATACTGAAAAAGTTTTGTAAATATGATTAAACAATACTGATAAAATGAAGGAAAACAGGCTGGAATACATGATACATGAGTTAATAATACATGAGTTAATATTAATAATCTAATATACCGTATGTTAAATAATAAAAATATTGAGACAAACAAGATGAAAAACAAGGTATAAAGAAGTTAACTACAGGTATTTAAGTTGTCAATCATAAAGTCAAGTTAACAGTACTACCGGTAATGAAAAGAGTAACACTGTAAAAACTTCAGAACAGAAACAGGTGAAAAACAGTTATAAATAAGTTGACAGTAATAAATATATGTTAGCTATATTAATAATATTAGTATAAAGTAATAATGGAAAAAGTAACTTTATATAAATAAGTCAATAATATTAGTTAAAAGTTATGGAAAAAAAGGTAAGAAAAAAACATTGAAACAATACATAATAAGTTAAAAACAATGAAAAATGTAACTTGTTATGAAAAATGTAACTTAAAATAAAATAATGAAATAGAACTGATCGAAAACTGTTGCCACATCAGGGTTTCATTGTCATTTCTCAATAATTAAAAAAAAACCCCTAAAAATAAAAATATAGAAAAGTACTCCTTATTTCTTTTTTTTATTGGGCTTTATTATACCATACAATTCTGAGCTATGTTTGTTTTCGTAAAAAAATCAACTGCACAGTCTTAGAAAGTTAAAATTCTTCCTATGATCACTCATTATTAGCACGTGTGTAACTAACGGGTGTCTAACGGTACATTTGACACGCCCCCTCCATTACAATATGGCCGACAGAATTTCGGTCACATGGAGAAAAATTGAATTTTACCAATGTTCACGTCCACTTATGGAAATAAATGAAGATGGATCTTATAAAGGGATATTTAATCCATATTTGAGCAGGTTTTTTTTTCGCTCCGCATCTTCCACGAAAAAAGTTACAAAATTTCAAACTTTTCAATCGGAGGAAAAAAATATTCTTACCTTGCTACGAGTGATAAATTTTGCATGCGGAGCAACCTTGACCTCTTAACTAACTGTTTTCGGTTGAATGGAACCGGTATCGATTGCAGGTAACCAACACGAGGCCGTAATGCAAGGCTAGCTTTTCGCGAAAAAATAGCGCCATATTTGTGACAGCCAATTAAGAAAAAAGAGTTACGTCCCTTTTTCGGTTGGCACACGCTACGGTAGGCCTACCTAATATAAATGGAAAAATAAAGCAAGTTAAGGTTGTATTCCGAAATAAGTTGCTTCTTAAAGGGTTTAGTTTTGTCATTAGAAATTGAAATTTACCTTCATATGTCATTATTTAAAGGGTCTAAATCGCTAGTATTTGGGACCTAGAAATTGACACAAATGAGTCGCAACACGTAGTCTACATATAACCCGTAATAATGAAATATGAATGTATATAAACTGATTTACATTCAATCGTGTCCGGTTTTACTCTAATTTCAATTCAGTTAGGCCCTATGTTCTGCGAAATACGCCAGAAGTCTCAATCAAATGGCAATCTCTAGCGTCTAGTTATTCCAGTCTACACTGGTAGTATTTATTGAGCATGCTCTTCAGATAGGCTAAGAATATAGCGTCACCGTTTGACATGACTTTGGGAATATGTCTAGCCTCGTTCTTTGAGTCCCTTATTACAAATGGCACTGAAACGCATTGTGGTACACTATTCGTGAATTTCGTGTACCAATGGTAAAATGTTTATTTTGTCTTAAAATATTGGATATCAGAAGTCCATCATTTCCTGGTAAAATCAAAACATCAGTGTTGATTTAAATGTTAAATAATTTGTGTTTTCAATGTCGAAGACTGGATGATATTGAGTTAGAGACTTATAGCTACTTTAATTTGACAGTTGGTTCTCAATGAAGATTTTTGTCACTCATGATATCACAAGCGAATTTCACTGCAGTAATTTACTGTCGGTCTACCTATATCCATTCCCATAATGTGTAATGTCAATAAGAATCATTGTGTTTAATTTGTAGTGCGGTCCAAGCACAGTTGCGGATAGGTTTATGGTATTGTATTGTAGCCTGAAAAATTAAGTCCATCTGTCATAGGGCTTCCGCATAACTTGAAATTGTTGTTAATCTGCTTTTTTTCTATTTTCAGGCTTTTTGATATTCAATTATGGCTTGTTAAATTTACTGGCCAGACGGCCCATTTCTATTTGAATGGGCTGGCCAAGAGAATGAATGGATGTCAGCTAGGCTATAGAACTCAGTGAAATTGAATGTAAAGAAAAGTGTTTAGTGTCAGACTTTGATAAGAATTTGACAAAATGCCAATCAAGCTAGATTGCGAGTGTGGTCCAAAGTGTAGATCACATCAGCATGCACTTTATATCAATTCCGCTATCATAAAAGGTGGAATTAAAGAGTTTAAGGCATATTCAAGTTTATGTACTAATGCTACAAATGTGAATGATAAATTTGGACGAAATGTTTTACATATGGCCGCATCCTGTGGACGAATTGATATTGTAGAATATCTGCTAGAAGAAAAACATTATAACTTAAAAGCTAAAGATTATGAATCTGGATGGACAGCACTACACCGTTCTTTGTTTTATGGTCAAATTGCGGCTGCAAGACTTTTAATACAGGTGCCTGCTGTATTTATTATTCAGGGGTCAAAATTCACAACGGCACCCACGGCAATTAGCGAAATTGCCGTAGAAAATAAATAATAACTACGGCATCCTTAGCCGTGGTAATTTACTTAAGAATATCACGACGGCAATTTGCCCATGTTGACACTAAAGTCGCCATTGTATACCTGCGTAATCTACGGCATAATCGCAAGTAGGAATTTATTGTTTTGTCTCTTTCACGCATTCTCGTGACTGCATTGTTCTATTGAGTTAGATCTCGAATCACACAGCTAAAAATAGATCAAACGGTGTGGAATTTTTATTGGCTATTTATCGTGACGTCACATTAGTGGAAGTACATAACACAGACACTGATAACACAAGTCGTCACGCGGCATTCCCAGTTGTGCTGTTTACATTTCGATCAGTCGTACGGTTACTCAGATAGTTGGAAGTCAAATAGCAGCCAACTTTATAAGAATGAATTTCACACCATCTACGCATGTTTTCATCTGTTTGACACTAGTTTATAGCATTATGAAATATTTATATCTAAATAAATAAAACATGTATCCCTCAAGTCATCTGACCTAATTCTACCATAACATCACATGCTGGTGGCTGGAATGGAAATGCACACGGCTCGTCTGGTGTATTTAATCATTTAAAAAGTTCAAAACAATTTCCAGAAATAAAGGCTATGGATATTTTACTGGAAACTATGACCAAATCAAATAATTAGGTCGGGAAAATATGTCATATAATATAATTTTTAGCAAATAGACGTCTTAGACGGGATGTGAGAAAGGAATTCCAGGGGGTGTTACATGTCTGCCGCACGAGGTACATGGTCATGTAATATAATGTCATCCACAGGTGTGAAGTCGTGTTTTGATAATCAATTTATGGTATTACAGATATTTTAGAATCAGAATCGAACACCTCAACGGCGAAGTATTCATTTAAAATGCAAGTTTGGAACCAATACTTATATTTGGTGGAATTCACATGGATAGGGATTATAGAATTGCACGGATCTTCGTGTTGCTGAGTCCAAGCAAATTCGCGGGCTTGCAAGAATTTTTAGGCCTTCTGATTTCAAAGAAATAAAATGGATTCATATTATGATATTCATATGGACTGCAGTGTATGTAAATCCCTAAACAATTTAAGGGTGTTTGTGGTGACCAAATTCTGGACGAATTCTGTAATAATGCCGTAGTGACTTTAAATATATATTTCTATCATAAAGATCTTGGTTCCTTTTGATAATCACACATATCCGAACGTAACTTTCTGGATTATGGCCCCTGATTGGTCGAAAAATCACATTTTTAGCTTGTGGATTCTCTAGAGGTCACATTTTTTTTTCCGATTTTAATAACCGTTTAGATATATCACCATTCCACCATAATGAAGGTTGAATTGGAATTTCGGGAAAATGGCTGCTATTTGTACACAAATTGTGTCTAAGTATGTAATACAAAGGTTATGAACCTTCTAGAGGTCACAATATTTATGCGATTTTGATGAAACTTAAAACATATCTTTATGTTCCAACAATCTCAGTCCCTTTTGATATTTGCGCATTTCAGACCATAACTTTCTGGGTTATGGCCCTGATTGTACAAAAAATAATTTTTGTTTTTAGCTTGTTCTCTATCCATCTCTTGCAAAATGTGGGCGAATCCTGCCTGGCAGCCGCTGGTTTTCTTTCTTGTCGCATCATTTTCTAACCTGTCACACATTATCCCTACATATAGGTTCACAAACACTTTTAAATTGCTTTTTTCCTTATTTTGATCCATATGAATATCGTAATATAAAACATTGTAACATGCTTAAGGGTGAATCTTGCGTTTTGATTGGTCGATTAGACACTGTCTATTGGACAATAACACCCCTCTAAATTAGAAAAATCGCTGCGTATTAATATTATGCGTACTACTTTAATGGCGATAACCACAATGGAGACAATCAATTTTGATCTTGGTACATTAGATGAAATATTTGGAGATATGTCCGAAGATGAACTTGAAACCCCAACCGCCTTGTCAGGTAACAGCTACAAACAACAAAATATTAAAAAATCTATTACAAAAACATAAAGTTTGTTTCAAAAAGTACTTTTTAAAAAATGAAGTGAGAATTTTAGGTTTTTATTGTGTGTCTATACTCATACGGCTACTATAGCAACCAGACGATAAGCGAGCAAAATCTAACATGAGCAGCCAGTTACCCCGCTACGTCACAATGTTTTCATTACGTCAAAATTGATTTCTTTGGTTTTTACGTCACTAAAACCGATTTGCAGTGAGACGATTTTGAAGTTTACACAATAAAATAAGTTCTTTTAAAATTCTAAAAAATTCTAACGCGTCTTTGGTCCTAATGATCTCAGGACATGTCTATTGGACAATAACACCCCTCTAAATGCGAAACAGTAGGTGTTTATCTCCTAATCGACAGGACTAAAATTCTCGCGAATTGCCGAAGTTGCTTTAGGTCTGCAACTCGAAGATTCGTGCAGTTCCATAATCTGAATAGACGTGGATTCCACCAAGTGAAACATACGTCCGAAATCATACTTTAAATTTAATATGAAGGCCAGAATTCAGATTTGAAAATATCCGTATTAAATTGAATACCGGTATGGTGTTTGTAGAATTAGGTCACCTAAATATGACTTGGAGGATATGTTCTAATTTATTAAGAGTGTTCATACTGCTGTAAAATAGTGTCAAACAAATGAAAACAATTGTACGTGTCAAACAAATGAAAACAAGTGTACATGTGTGAAATAAATGAACACACCAACCGAGCCAATGAACACGAGATGTGTGAAATGCGTTGTTATAAAATTGAACAATGCTGAGAATATTTTATAAAGATTTAACTCATCGTAATATAGAACTACATGTATTACTTTTTGCTGTTTTGCAGTATAAACATGATTTGAGAGGAAGAGATCATGAAGGATTAAGTCCCCTGGATATTGTCATGAAAGATCGACCTAACTATATATCATTCTCACCTAGAGGTAATACTTTCAAATATTTATAAAATCTCTTGCTCATAATGATTTCTTGATTTAGAAATTATTAGAGGTAATAAACGATAATACAGTCATGCAACTTTAAATGGATTGCAGATAATAAAGAAGGTAGTGAAGAAACCTGATGGGCCTAGTTTGAATCCAAGTCTGGAGATTATCTAGCATTGGTATTTCGTTTCTGTTTACTTAATTAAATGTCAATAATCAATCTGAGTACATATACATTCGAATAAACTGTGAGAAATTTAATAATTTAGTGAAAATGGAAAAAAGTTAAGCCATTTTATTGGTTGAGAGATTTTGATCACAATAATGTTGATTCTAATGGTATTAGAGTAATTAAGATTAGATTATGGTTCATTACATCAATGCCTTGACTAAGTTTGATTATGATTATTTTCTGCTCCTGTTAATAAGCAGAGCAATGGGTACTTTGTTTGCTTATTCCTTTATAAAAAGTTAAATGTGCAAGTAATTAAAGGAGCTAAACCTGTAACTCAATATTTTCAATTATATTCGAAATTAAAAACACAAATTAGAATAATTCAATATTGGTCCATTTCAATCAATATTGATGTAATTATCTTGCCGGGAAAATATGGGATCCTGAACATTTTATAATCAGTACACAAGTTGTGTATTCTATGGTTTAGGATGCCATTTGTAATGATCAAAGAAAAACATATTCTACTACTAGACAATATGGACATAGTATTATGAAGAATGGACTAAACCGGCATGAACGACTGTCGTTCAATTTGAACTGTTCAAGTCTCACAGATTTCACCGAAAATAATTGATTAGAAATTACAATTTTTTTATTTTTTTTTTAAACTGAATATGAATCAATTTATTTACATTCATTTTTATACACCGACATGGAAATGTGATCATATATTGCCGTTGCCTCTGTCCATCCGTTGGTCCGTCTGTTGTCCACAATTTTTTGTGAACACACTACAGACAGCATTTATCATTTGATTGTTTTGAATTGATATATGTTGTTTACATCAGTGAGATGAAGAAGTCTATTTAATTTCAGTAATTTCCATTGATTTCTTCGGGAGTTATGGCCCTTGTTTCACTTTGTTGAACCTTGTGAATGCTCTTAACGACAAAAGTTATCAGCCGATCTCTATCCAATTTATATGCATGAAACACAGAGGCCTGTTGGATTTCAGCAATTTCAGTTAATTACTTCTAGAGTTATAGCCCTTGTTTTACTTTTTTTTAAACCTTGTGAACGTTCAAATGACAAAAGTTGTCATCCGATGTGTATGAAATTTATATGCAGTATTTAAATTAGTAAGACAAAAACCTTGTGAACCCTCAAACGATGAAAATTATAATCTGATCTGTATGAAATTGTCTTGTAAATGCCCCTTATTAGCTGCTGTGGGCGTATGTTTTGTTTGTTGTCTGGCAACCGATCTTACATTAACATGCTTTTAGACCCATTTTCGTCTAATTGAAGGGGATTTAAGCAATTTGTTGGTCAATACTTTGGAACACTGTTTCTAATTCTGTGGGAGTGTTAAAACTTTGTGTATAGTTTCATTACATCGGTTCATCAATGTTGTATTATTTCTTTCAGAACCAAATGAAGTATATACTTGGGGAGATAATTCTAATTACAACTTGGGACACTCTAGTGCAGAAGATAAAAGAATGATACCAGAACGAGTTGGCATGTTTAAAAGAGTTTCAGGATATGTTATACAGGTTTGTAGAAATTATTTTGCAAAGGTCAAAGGCTGTCCAGAAGTTCAAATCATCTATATTAGTCTAGATTCATTATCTGGCAGTCAGTTTAAATGCCATAAAGTGATAGGATTTGGAGAACTACAACTAACACATGATGAGTTCTATTCAAAACTCTTTTAAAAGAATGTCTACATATTGAAACACTAATGAAATATTGAGCTTATTCAGACTATTTAAAAAAATATTCTATTTCTTGAAAAGAGCAGTACAGCTGTTTTTGAGATTATTTAACAAAATTATTTAACATGTTAATTGTCTTACTTCAATTCATTAGATCTAATATATTATTTGTATTATTTTTCAGGTAGTAATGTGTAAGTTTCATACAGTATTTTTAACACAGATAGGTCAAGTTTATAGTTGTGGACATGGTCATGGTGGTCGACTAGGACATGGAGATCAACAAACATCTGTGGTAGGTTGATAATGTATTCAACATAATTTCTTCAACGTAAGTGTTTTCAATGAAAATGAGGTCATTATTCAGATGATGAATTTGTGTGATTTTTGCACAAAGCATTATTGAATAATTTCCAGAAGTAATATTTTGAATTTGTTCTCCCAATGTGCCATCTTGATTATTAAGTTGACCTGTTTGTTTTAATAAAAAAAAAAAATCAGAATGCTTATGATCATTGACTTAATTTAAGAACATTGAATTTTAATACAGAAAGATGCAAATCTCATAAAACAAAACGAAAATAAAAATTGATTAAATCAATTTTTTCATTTTTCACTTGGATAAAGAGATCTTGTTATTTTTCATCCAAATTAGATAGATCTTAATCTTTGATGATAATTTATTCTTTAATGCATATTAAAGACCTATTATGCCAACATTTCTACATGATTTTGTTTGTACAGGTACCTAGATTGGTGGATACACTGAAAAGAGAAACATGTTTGCAAGTAGCAGCAGCTAGAGATCATACTCTGTTCTTTATGGAAAAGTAAGACAGTACTTTTTTATATATACAGAACAAATAATATCAACATATTTCTTATATATCACTGCAATATTTGACTGACTTTTATTTTATTCATTTATTTGTATAGGGGAACTGTATATGGTTGTGGTTCTAATGAAAGTCATCAGTTGGCTTTACCTGTTCCAGCACCTGACAGAACTTTTGTTCCTAAATTGGTAAATATTTTAATTATTTAATCTTGATAATTAATCAATATGTACTATGTTCAGTTTTTACTTTGTAATAGTTTTTTAAAGTTTCTCTTTTTTTGGACACAATTCTTTTAATTAATAGTGTGCTGTATATTTTATTTTTAGATGAATCCCGATGCGTTTAAGGGCTATCATATTATAGGTGTATGTGCAGGACGATATCATTCTGTTGTTTATTGCTCAGATGCTGTTTTTACCTTTGGCTTAAATGCTGGACAATTAGGTATTTCACCATTATATATTGTAGAAATTGACAAGTCAACATATCATTTTGTATATGGACTTCTCTTTGGAAAAGAGATTGATTTTGTGACAATAAAATTTGATATTATTTAATTGTAAGTTAAATGAAGAAAACAATCATTATTTGGTGTAGATATTCTACTTAATCAATATACATTAAAGATGCATTATGTAAGATTTAGATAAAGTGCTGGCAGCTCTCACTATAATAGTTTAAAAACAGGTAATGGAAAATGATTGTATTGAAAATTAATTTATTCTGAACGAAGTTATGAATGTTTGAAGTTTTGATAAGAAATGGCCTAAAAAGTACCTTTGCTGCACAATAATAAACAAAGTCTTGATTTTCCGCCTTTATTGAGCTCATATGCATCATATTAACCTAATTTTTTAAAAAAAAGATTTAAATTATTATTGATTAATATTGTGATTATATATTGTAGGTCATGCCAGAGGTGACAAGTATCAGATACAACCTAGAATGATCTCTGGGTTAAATGATCCAGAAATAAGAATAAGTTTGGTAGAATGTTCTGATTCAGCTACTGTCTGTCTGACTACACTAGGAAATGTGTATATATGTAACAGATATATATGTAGGAAAATAGGATCAAGGTAAATTTTATTTATTTTGTAAATTGTATAATATTTTGTAATTTGATATTATTATGCAAATTTGATATATTACATAAGGTATAAGTGTGCATTCTTAGGATTCGTAAAGGTCTTACAGTTCTTGAACACTAACAACCACAAACACTATACACATTTCCAATCAACCAAACACTGCAGATTCAATCATCAAGATTAGAGGATCCACAAAAAAGACTATTCACTAGTTGAATTGAAATGTAATGTTGACAAACAGTTTGAAATCAGATGCCTCACTGTCATTGTAAAAATATATCTACTTAAAGATGTAGTGGTAGTGTTTATATATCTATTGTAGATGGTTGGATATTACAAAAATGTCCGTTTCTGGTGGCTCAGTAGATCATTTAGTTATAACAGATCAAGATTTATTAAAACAGAAGGGAGGAGCAGAATTAATGGTTGTCTTACTTAGTAAACAAGGACGGGTAGGTTTTATCATACATATATAAGTATAAGTAGGGGTTTCAGGTCAAAGTTTTAAATGACAGAAAAAAAACATTAAGAATATTTTGTGAAAATATACATAATATGCTATCCAAAAAATTTTATTTCATCAAAATATTCTAATTAGATCCAAAGTTATGGAATTGTAAAATCTGAGATCGACGTCAATAATGTAATCAAAATGCTCTATAGCAGTCAATGTGTGCCATGGCACCAAAATAAGTGCTGTTCAGTCATATCTGAGTGATGCCATAAGCGGTATTTTCCCTTCAGAATTGCTAGTACCAATTTTAAAACTGAAATCGGCACACTATAGTCAGCTAAGATTTATTAAAATCGTAATAATTTGAATGATAATATTTCAAATATTTATAATCTAGATGATACCATATATTTAGTTGCAATTTAGCAAATTTCAATCAGCAAAACAGATAAATTTCGTATTCTGTAATTGTCCTATCTCGGGGTATCACGCACCATAATAATCACAAAAATGTTATCTATTGTTTGATTTGCTTTATGTTGAAATCCCCCGAAAACTAAGGTGTGGATTCACCAATGAAGTGGGTCGTAGCAATGGAAAATCCCTAGCCGCATGACGTCAGAGCGGTATTTTCCCGCAAGTGTCTCCTGTACATAAACGGTAATTTTGCTTACATTTCGACAATTTTTGAGCCTGAATCTTCGCAGATATTGAGATTGATATTAAACTATTACAATCAAGCCTTGAAATAACTGCTAAGCTTCAGCCTGACATCATGTCAGGCTGAACTGATTTTCGGCCGGACATTTCAGATTTTCAGCCTGACAAATACTTAATAAAGTATATTAAACCAAAAAACTGTTTAAATTTACTATGTTTATATATATAATTATACATACATTTGTTAATAAAATAAATTGATGACTCACAACCTGGAGTTTTAAGTTTTTATATGTATATGCAATACAACTTAATAGTTCATATAATAATGTCAATCTCTTTGGTGGGGCTGGGGACTAAATCCTAAAAACTCTGATTAAGATTCAAATTTAAATAAAGAATAGACATCTTGAGTTGTCGTAAATGGTTCAGAATCTGCCAAGTAATTTTTGATCCACTTTTCTACGGTTCTTGTTTGTAATTTTCGAACTGGTGAAGGCGACGGCCCCCGTTTAGAAGTGTCTTTATGAGAGACATTAGACACAGTACCAGTCTTTGAATTTTCTGGAACGGTCCCACTAGCCGGGATATCTGTGTCCGAGGGTTGGGAAAATTAAGAAGTTATTTTACTCGACATGTTTTCACGGCTCTTCTATTTACATTCACATCGGAAGTGTCCAACAAAGTGAGATATTTTCGTATAAAAATCTGTCCCTAATTACATCCATAGTCAACTTGAACATTTTCTTGTAAACTAATTTAAAATATTATTACTTTTATTACTAATAATTTATATAATTACTTGTCATGTTAGGTGTGATTTAGAGCTAATCATATACGAAAGTAACGCAAAGCTAGCTACGAGACTCGAATAACCATTGTAAAAGAGCCGATTCTCAATATTATTCATTATTTTATCTTTACGCGGCCGAGAGAGATACATGTATAAATAGTAATATTTTTACTATGACTCGGGTCGTTGATATGACCAGCGTAAAAGAGCCGATTCTAAAAATTATTGAAGATTTTATCTGCACGCGGCTGAGATATAAAAAGTAACATTTTCACTATGACTCGGGTCATTGATATTTTTGGGCCTGGATTTTCGAGTCTAATATTAATTAGCAATCGACTCAAATATTTTTGGTTTAATGTTTTACAAAAACACCGTCGGACAATTATGTCCGGACGAAAGGCAATTTGGCCTGTCAAAAGGGGTCAATTCGCCCGGACATTGTCCGTGTCCAGCCGCTTATTTCAGCGCTTGATTACAATACCATTGCTAGTAATACATATAAATAAAATAGTAATTCAGAATCGTAGATTGAAGTGGGCTATATTTCAGCCGCTGGCTGTCAGATTTCACGTTAATGTCACGTGACCTGAAACCCCTAATAAGGTTTTGTTGTTCGGATGCTGAACTACAACCAAAATTTACCAGGTTCCAATTTGAGGTCAACTGGAGAAGAACTATCCAGATTTTACAAGCCTTTTACTAAGTTGTCAGGGGTGGGGGTCTGCTGGGGTGACAAGGAAAGAATGACACAAAAAATGTATAAATTGTCGTCCCTTTAAAGTTGGTAGTTCATCAGGATTTTCTGACGTGGCTTTGCTTTGTCAGTGGTGCAGGACCGAGGCCCTGACAAGCACAGCTGTCTAGTCATTCAGATGGTACTAAAAACCTGAGGTCCCGTGTACACATTGGCATACACGTAAAAGATCCCTAGATAGATGGAATTCGATATAAGAGTAGGCGATAGTGCTGCTGTCCGGGCAAAATTTCCCTCATAGCACACAGTATGGCGTATGCCTGTCTTCATTAGCCCAATTGGAGCAGAACGGTAGGACGTTAAACCCCATTTCATTTCATTTAAAGTTTGAATCAGAAGAAAAGTATTCACTATTCAGATATGTCACTGTGCATTGTACATACAAAAGTTTACTGTATATTAGTCTCAGTCTGACGTAAGTATAGTGTTGGCGAGATGTTGAACCACATTCAATTCTAATAAAAGTACATGTATCTTTATTGTTGATATAGTTTTGATCTGTGAGACAATCTATCAAAAACCCATAATAATTTATGAATGATATTTTAAAGACTTTTTCCGTTTTCCTTTTACCTTATTTTGTATAACACAGATTGTCAGTAAATAACAATACATTTGATACAAAAATGAAATATCTAAACAAAAGTCAAAAACTTCAAGGATGTAAATGCCAATCCGTTATCAGAGTAGCCAACTGTATCTTGTTTTCCTGTAGTCATTGTACGGCGCCTTTCTTTCTGCATGTGGATTTGACTTCATTACTCTGAAATAAACCGTAAAAATGAAATACGAAAAATATACCAATATACGTTAGAATTAACAGTACAGATAAATTTTGTTTGTAACCATCTAAATCAAGTAACAGATTGAGAAGGGTCGTCTAACTATCTTTGTGTATTAATAATAATATGACAAGTGTAGTATCATTAATATCTGTCATTAATCAATCCGACTAAATTTGCACAGACATCGGGTCATAAATTAATTTACACCTCAATGTGGGATTAGGTACGCTGATTAGGTAATTATTAATTTTAACGCCTACCAGATCAAAGACATCACTCTAGGTGGAACGTGTGTGCGTAATACCCCACGAACGAACGAAAAAAATTATGGGGGAACTTTTATACAAACATTTCCTCACCTCACCACAACTAATTGTTGAATCGTACACACATTAATGGTATAGAATAATTAAGTTTTACTCATCAGTTGTTTATAATTATTATTTACCCAATAATCAGTTAGTTTTATTCACCAATGTTTTTGTAATAAAGTAGCCTCATATTATTTGTTGATTGGCGTTTAGACAACATTTTATTGACTTGATATGAAATCTGAATATAAATTAATCGATGGATAAGATTAAAGGAGCAAGGTCGCTAATATTTGGGACCTAGAAATTGACACAAATGGGTCGCAACGCATACAATAATGTAATATGAATGTATATAAATTGATTTACATTCAATCGTTTCTGTTTTACTGTAATTTCTAATCAGTTAGGTTCGGCGACATACGCCAGTATTCTCAATCGAATTTCAATCTCTAGCTTCTGGTTATTCCAGTCTATGCTGATAGTATTTATTGGGCATGCTCTCCAGATAAGAATATAGCGTTTGACATGACTTGTGGAATATGCCTAGCCTCGTTTTTCAAGTCCTTTATTACACATAGCGCCGAAACACATTATGGTACACGATTCGTGTACCAATTGTAAAATGTTTATTTTGTCTTAAATATTGGATATCAAAAGTCCATCTTTTCCCAGTAAGATCACAACATCAATGTAGATTTAAACCGACAAATAAATCGTGTTTTCAATGTCGAAGATTTTGGATGATATTGAGTTAGAGACTTAGCTACTTTAAGTTATAATGTCTAACATCGTTTAACTTTTTTATAAAAACGGTATTTTATAATTACATTGACAGTTTAATCACTCACCAAATGGCATCAGCAACTTCATGTATGACCAGGTGTATTGATATTCATGTCCAGGAATCCCATGGAATTTTCGCGCCAAAATTTAACCATAGTTACTACGCCTGTAGTATACATGGAACCGTACATGGTAATAAGATTCCCAGCGTTGATTGGCTGAGAAATGAGAACGATCTATTGTTATGCATAGTCATTGAAAAATTCCATATTCGCTGTGAATTTCAAATGGAGTTACAATAAAAGTTGTTCTTTGTGTATAGAAATGGTTATTATTATTATATATAACTAATAATGAATATATCAACAAGTGACTGGCACCATTTGTATTTCTGTACTAATAGAGAATAGTTTGGGATATCTAGTATTACTGGGTTATCCAAATTACCGTTAAATGTGCTAATTGGTTCGTCTTCATTTGCCACGTGGCCTATTTAAACAAAGGCAGCTTAAATGGATCTACGGCATGATATGGCATTTTAAATTCACTCTAAAATATTCCAATCACAAATGTCTAATCTGTAACAATGCAAGACAATAATTTGGTGATTATGATTAGGCCAGGCATACATGTATGTTCATTGGAACATCAATAAACACTTGTCAACTGGTTGTGTGTATAGACAGTGATATATTATACAGACAGTGATATATTGCATAGATAATGTATATATACTATTCAAAAAAAGTAGGGGATATTTGATTTTGGGGGCATAATACTAAAATATGCAAATGACTACGAAAAAAGTCACTATAGAACCTAACAGAAGAAACATTTCCAGTTACATGTGACGCCCAAACGCACCAATAGCTACCGCATGGAATGCAGGTGATGCTTGGGATCATCATGGGGGGTCCAACCCAAGATTTGCACGACTCTGACTTTGAATGTTACAGTCATTGTGGCATTGAATTCCAGGGTGGAAACATCAGTTTAATTGTTTTAGTGACCAGAAAACAAATTTTAATATGCGTCGGCTTACCCAAAATGAAAGGTTACGTGCCCTTGGCATGCTACAGATCGGCACAACACAGGCGGTTGTGGCGCGGACGATGAATGTTTCTCAGTCTGTCATAAGCAGGCTATGGTCCAGATACCGTGATACACAGTCTGTACAGGACAGACCACGCTCAGGTCGACCAAGGGCGGCAACTCAAGCCCAGGATCGATTTATCCGTACCTTGGCCTTGAGAAATCGTGTCATCACAGCAAATCAGATCAGCGCTCGTCTTCAAACAGACACTGGTGTGAGAGTGAGTGGCCAGACGATTCGGAATCGACTGCATAGGGGTCACCTTCGCGCCCGACGTCCTCGCGTGATCCCTTGTTTGAGAGATCATCACATTCAAGCAAGACGTCGTTGGTGTAGGGATCATCAACACTGGGATAATCGACGCTGGAGCAATGTGATGTTTTCAGATGAGTCAAGGTTCACTGTTGATTTTTTGGACAGATGTAGGAGGGTGTGGCGTCGTCGAAACGAGCGCTTCCAAGACGTTAACGTCATCAGACATGATCGATTTGGGGGTGGTTCTGTTATGGTGTGGGGAGGCATCACTGTTGCTGGAAGAACGGCTTTACATGTTGTTGCAGGGCGTGTTACAGGCCAGTACTACCGGGACAACATGTTGGCAGTCCATGTTGTGCCGTTCGCACGACGTCATGGCCGCCGTTTCATCTTTCAGGATGAAAACGCAAGATGTCACAGGGCCAGGATCGTTACAGGTTACCTCCAACAACAGAACATCACCACATTACCTTGGCCAGCACTGAGTCCCGACCTCTCCCCCATCGAGCATGTCTGGGACATGCTTGGACAGAGGTTACGTCAACGCCAACAACGTCCTGCCAATGTCCAAGAACTTGCTGCTGCGTTGCAACAGGAATGGGACAATCTGGACGAAAATGACCTTAGACGTCTCATTAGGAGTATGCCACGTCGGATCAATGCTTGTTTGGCAAACAGAGGAGGATTTACCCGTTACTGACTTGGTTGTGATGCTGTGGTAACTTTGCTGTTTTACCCCGGGTATCATTTTACCCTTATAATGGTCAGTCTGTGCCTTACTTAGTCTAACGATCATTTGGAATAAATCGATGAATGTGAACTTCATTTCATTTTGTCATTTGTTTCTTCGTCAGTTTCATTAGGTGACTTTAATAACACTTAAAAATCAAATATCCCCTACTTTTTTTGAATAGTATACTATGTGTAGTCCCTGTGACGTCACCAGCCAATCAACCGGATTAAGGTCGTAATTGAAAAATTGAAAAGCGTTTTGGGGGGTCGGATACTTAAACGTTAATAGCTGAATTAATCAGATTGGTGTGAACTTGCCGTAAAGTGGATATAGTAACCAATGGCTATACGTACCGAAAGGTTTTCTCATCCATCTTATGTGCCCTTTAAATAGAACAAATAATATGCTAAACATTGTGACTGTAAGGATGTTTATACTGTCATGTAATTGAAGGTATTATTATGGAGAGAGAAAAGTCATCGATTTAAGAGATGTAATTGGGCTATAAGAAGAGAAGTTAATATAAAAGATGTTGCTATAAATAGAAATAATATAGCTCTAGTCACAGATAAAGGAGAAGGCTTTATTGGTAATTGGTTACCAAGTAAAGAAACATCTAAGAAAAAATCACAATCGACATTACCAAAGTCAAGAGAAGGTATTTGGAATGATTTCTGACAATTACTGATAGTTATGCTCATTGATTTATAAGACCTTGTTAACCGTTAAAGAAAATAATTTTAATGGATATTTCGTGTTCTGCATATTGAAATGAGGACTTCAATTTCTCTCAGAGTTAATCTATTGTAGACTTGCTATGAAAGATTTGATGCATATATTGTTGTATTATTAGTCACCGGTAGCCATGAGTTTCCACAAGTACGTTTATTGGATCTGTTGTTAAAAGATGAGGTGGAGGATGTTCAGTTAGAGAGGATACCAAATATACATAGAGCTACCAATATATTCTCAGATCCTAAAGGCAGAAACTTTGCAGCATTACAAGTCTTGCCAAATGGATGGTAAGTCAATTCCCTATAAAATCTTTGACTGGGATATAAATATCTTTAACCCTTTGATTACTAGAATCAAAAATTGCAAATGACATTTAAATAATGAATCTTCTTTAGTATGGCGTCATAACATCTTGATATATATTTAAGTTATGTACCAAATATTTTATGTTATGTGTTTGAATACTGAAAGAGCTGTTTTAAATGTATTTCAATTTTGGAAGAATAAGTCACAAAAAACAATCCATCTTCAATGAAAATCATTTGCCAAATTGTGTGCAATTCGGTTACATAATGGGTTAAAATAAAGGGTCAACGCATAAAAAAGTATTTATTAATAATTTAATTCAAAATGAATAGACATGTTTAACATCAAATGCATGTTGTTTTATTTTTTGTTAGTTTAACAGAGATACCATATGTTAGAGAAGCTAGTATAAGAGAAGATATGAATAGACTATTACAAGAAGTAGATGATACAGATGTTATACATGATATTATTATACAGGTATTTATTATATACTAATGTTACAAGCAGAAAATCTTATTGAATAATGAACCTTGCACAACGCTAGTAAATCATTTACCATATAACCAAGGGTGGTAACAAGTTGCGGGACCTCAAGTCCTAGTCACATCCCAAGTCGCTGCACCTCGATTCGGAGTTGAGTCCCAAGTCGCCACCCAAGTTTTCACAAATCCCAAGTCCCGTTTGAGTCGCCAGTTCATCAAATGAGTAAGCAATTCATGATAAATTAGGCAAGTTAGAGTTATGTCCCTTCACCGCATCTCGCATCCATAGCCCTTTCAAATCGCAGTAAATATTTCCAGTCGAATTGCAAATCAGGTCTTTGATGCGACTTAAGTGAAACTCAAGTCCGAGTCGCATATTACAGAGCACTACTTATTTGCTATGGACTTTCATAAAGCACTGATCATCATTTGTCTATTTGGAATCCATTGCAGACTACAATATTGTGAAAGTTGATTCTCTAAAAATAATATCAGTCCATTAATGGTTCAATTCTGTTTAGTATTTAATTTACAAAAATAGAATGAATTGAATCTGTAGACTACATCCTCAGTATCCCCAGTGTTCTCATTCCGTTCTACTCCACTATACCCTGGGTTAATTCATGGGGTTTCCAGGATTTCAAATTATCTGCCCTGGCCTTGATTGTAGCTAAAGTCTACGAACAAATCAGAAAACAATTTACAAACCAGTCGATTCGCCTTTGTTTTTATAAGGGTAGATAACCATATTTATGTCCATTTACTGAATGATTTATGTAAATAATGTATATATTTCTGATTCATTTATATTTAATTGAATTACCAAAATCTGTAGTATGTTTTGCTGATTTCAAATATGTATAACATCTATATGTTATGGCTTGGTGTATATATAAATGTTGTGGTGTAATTGTCGAGATATTTGGAGATATTTATTTATGGTGGGTCACCTTACAATAGCAGATAACTTGAAAAGTGTCTGCTCCCCCATTGATTAACCCAGGGGTTAGTGGAGTAGAATGGAATGAAACCACTGGGGATATCAAGGATGACAAGACTAGTGTTCAATGAAATCTTTATGTACTCTCTTTAATCCAATCACTGATATTTTGGATTTCTTTTCTTAATTAATTAATCAATAATCAATTTGTGTCAATGTTAGAATGGATTAAGCCATGACAATTTAGATATGGTCCTAAAATGCACGATTGGGATCATAACATTAAAAGGTTCTGAGTTTAAAATATTTCAGTGTATGCTGTATAAATCAATGTATTAACTATTGAATTATCTTTTATTGTTAAATTTGTTCTCATATTTTTTGAAACAGAGTGGTAATCGCAAGTGGGCAGCTCATAAATTCATATTGGCATCAAGAAGTACTAAATTACATAAGATGATAATGAATGATCTATCATCAACTAACGAAGATAAACCAGTGATAAATCTAAAAGATATTAATCCACTGTTAATAGATGAAATATTGAAATATATCTATACAGATATGTGTACTGCTTTAACCATTGATGCTAAATTTCAACTACAAGAAAACTGTGATAATAAAGATGAGGACATTAATCCTAAGATAGAATACATGACTAAAACACAGAGGAAGAAATATTATAAACGTTTAGATAGAGAAAACAGTAAAAAACAAGAAGAAGATGAGCCAAAGACAGCTTTATGTTTATTGAGAGAAGTGGCGGAAGATTTAGGCATCGATACATTAGTTGACAGGTATGAAAATTATTTAGCTTAAAAATATTTTACTTCTTAATTCAATTGGTAAAAGTAATATTAGAATGTTTTGACCTAAAACAAGATTTCCAAAGCATCGACAATAAATCTTTTTGTCTTAAATATTTAAATATTGCACATTATTGCAAGGTTCTTCAAATCTAGATCTTATTCAAAAGATTTTTGAAGCAAATTCAATACTTTAAGCAATATATATAATAAAAGAACATGATATTCATTTATCTAACCATAAACCACAGATTCTGTGTTCGTTGAAATTTTGTTTATTATTTTGTATGTCTTTTAAATATAATGATTTATTTACCATATATTACAGACTTGACAGTGTAAAGTGTGTAAATGGTATTATTTGTTCTAACGGCAGACAATTGGTAAAGCCAAACTTAAAATTCAATAGGACGAACATGTAAGTGAATCTTGACATGATATATAAAAGGACCCGTTACATAAAGTATTCTCTCAGCTGTCAAGTAAAATGTCTATTTTAATTGGGTGTGTTTGAATGTTGTGTGCTTGAAACGTCAGAACTCAAAATTCTTTTCATGTTTTGCTTACCATAGGTTGGCAAGAGATTTTTTTAAAAAAGTGTTTTAATTAATCTACCCAGAAAAACATAAACAAGTACGATGGTAATGCATGGACCAGGAACCCAGCTTGACGTCATGACTGCCATCTTGGAATCTATATCTCTTGATCAATGTGTAATTGTCAAAGGAACAATCATACCAAGTTTCATGTTGATCGTAATTGAATTGGCAGAGCCATTGTCTTTTTTTCAAAGAGCTTCGCCCCCAGTAGAACAGAATATCGTGATATAAAACAGTTTTATTTATTTGACATCAGCAGGACTAAAAATATCAATTATTCATTTATCCTGTTGGTAAATATTGATCTGGTTATAAATCGGAATATGAATTGTATCATAGCACCTGAATCACAATACTTATCATATCGTGACTTCAGTGGCAATGCCCAGCACTGCTTGTTATAGTAAATGCCTTCTTTTACAGCATGAAATTAAACTGACTAAGTTAATTTCTTAATCAGTAAATTTTATTGCCATCTGTCATGCTTTGAAAATATAAATAATGACTCGTAAAGACTTGTGTCTCAAATTAAATTCTTGCACTGATCCTGTTATAATAGTTGAATTTGATTATTTTCAGTCCTGAACTATATGATGTTTGTATACGAGCTGATGATAATGTCAGTATAAAGTGTCATAAATGTATTTTGGTTGCTAGATTAGAATATTTTCATAGTATGTTGGCTACTGGCTGGATTGAGGTATGTGAACTGCAAACACCATAGTTTATTAACCACATCTTTCACTTCAAATTTTGCCAGGCTGTCAATTTGTTTACCTCTGATAATACGTTAATTTTTAACATTATGACAAATTTTTAACATTTTGGTCCATTGCCTTTCGAAGAAAGCAGGGACTATTAAAATGGGTTTGTTCGTCTGTACGTCACACTTTTTGGGACACAATAACTTTCCTTAGTGTTTATTAGGTGAATTTCTTGACCTAGAGTTCGATCATGCACATTTTCCACTATAGCTAAGCAGAGATAAGCAATTTGATTGGTTGAGACTTTGGAACATGATAACTTCAGTTCTAATTGGTTGAGAGTAATGAAACTCTGAGTATAGATTCATTATGTCGATACATTGACTAAGTTAGATGATGAGAATTTTCTGCTTCGTCTAAGTAGCGATAAGCAATATGATTGGTCAAGACTTTTGAACATAACAACTTCACTTTTAATTGAGATATATATGTTTATTAGGTGAATGTCTTGACTGAGTTCAATGATTAATATTTCCCACTAAAGCTAAGCAGAACTAAGCGATTTCATTGGTCTATGCTTTAGGACAAGATAACTTTGATTCTAACTGGAGAGTGATGAAACTTAGTGTATAGTTTCACTACCAGGTACTTCAAAACCTGATTGTGAACATTTTACGCTTAGACTAAGCATAGATAATCAGTTTGATTTGAAAAAGATAAATGTGCAATTAATTAATATTTGTCATATGTTTATTTTGGGATTTCGGTGGGGGACAGCAGCCTCACTGTTGGCTTGTTAACATATATTTTTAAGTGTTTTTACACATAAAAACTATGAATTTAACTGTTTTTATTGCATTTTAAGATTAAATTCTTTGAAATTCGGGGATCACGGTGGCTAAGTGGGTAAGGCGCTGGCTCGCTAGTCTGGAGGTCGGGTGTTCGATCCCTGCATTGGCCGAGAAAGTTCATCCCGATTTTCCGGCGTGATTCCCCCTTGTCAGTGATGCAGGACGGAGGGCCTGACAAGGACAGCTGTCTAGTCATTCGGATGAGACGAAAAACCGAGGTCCCGTGTACACATTGGCGTGCACGTAAAAGATCCCTTGACAGTTGGAATTCGATATAAGAGTAGGCCGTAGTGCCGCTGTCCGGGCAAAATTTCCCTCATAGCACACTGTATGGCGTATGCCCGTCTTCATTAGCCCAGTTAGGAGCAAAACAGTAGGACGTTAAACCCCATTTCATTTCATTTCATTTCTTTGAAATTCTAATTTTATGGCCTGTAAAATAGGTAAGTTCTCCAGCCAGTCAAGTTCACTGCCAGTCAGTTAAGACAACTATAACTGAAACGAGAGATCTGGACCTAACTCGTGTACATGCCATAATTTATTTTGAAGATTTTAAAATTTCCATCTGTGTTAAGATCCCATAAACTTTAGGAGTAAATAGCTCTCTGAGTTATAATGGTTTAAGTTGTTGAGGTAATTATTTTATATTATAGACGTCTGATGCTAGTGGTTTATCATTACCTATACCTGGTAAAGTATTACAAGTACTTATAGATTATATATACACAGATGATGCTGCTTTTATGGCAGGTAAGTGATAATGACCATCATCATCTTATTTACTACTGTTCTTGAAAGGCTAGCTGCTTTTATTGTACATAATGAAAACAATACAAAAGAATTAAATGGATGTTTGTTTATTTACAGATTGTTTAAATGTAGAGTTATTGTGTAATATTCTAGTATTAGCTGATAAACTATTAATAGAAAGATTGAAAGAATTAAGTGAAGTGGCTATAGTTAATTCATGTAAGTATATAATAATGGTGCTCTGATAAACCACGGGTTCCAAGTTAGCCATATTTCATTAATAAAATTGTTTCTATGCTTTTATTTCTTATTCCAATATATGAATATGTACACCATACTGATGAAGTGGTGTAGACACATTAATTTGCATTACAACACAATAAAATAAAAGCATGAAAAATAAATGTAATTTGCAAAAGTTTTCTAGATTCCACCATTAATGAATGCACAATAATAAATTCTTAAAGATGACCCTTTTCTTTGTTACAGTAAATTTCTGGAATGTAGCTGATTTATTAAAGTTTTCTCTCATCTACAATGCACATCAACTATATTTATCTTGCCAACAATTTATATGTTTAAATCTACCTGTATTTCTCGAGTCAAAGTAAGTATTTATACATCCGTATAGAAATTAAATGAAATGGGGTTTAACCTCCTACTTTTCTACTCCATCTGGGCTAATGCCCGAATGGTTAGCGCATGTGCAATGTATCATAAGGTCTGTCATCGAGTCAAGTGGCGTGGATTCGATTCCCCGGTTGTAAGTGACGAGTGCTTAAAAACCCCTACGCGTAAGCAAATTATTGAAATAAAATTGAACCATATGTTATCCTGAAATGACTGGGTTTTTTCGCAAGTGGACACCAAACCCCATTTCTCTCTCTCTTCCCCTTTCAACATATACAGGTTGCCAGACATTTAATCCTTTAGTTATGGCTATAGTTGATGAATAACAATGTTTATATTGTAGATTATTAAACAGTTTAGATGATGATATTATTGATAAACTAACAACATACTATAGGCAACTGGTAAGTCAACACATTCACAATAGTTAGTTAATTTTTAAAACAAATGATGTTAATTCATTCATCTGTTTGATACCAGCTCTGATAGGATTAACTTACATGTCTCATGTCTAAACCAAATGTCCGGTTGATATACAATCATGTTTTTTGTATGATTGTTAAAGATCTATTTAAAAAAATCTTCTACATACCATATTTTTTTGTTTATAAGTCGATACTTTTTCTGCCAAAGTCTTATACTCTACTTCAATTATGTATGGATGAAGTTAAAAAAAAAAAAATTGTCAGTAACCGTCACTTTACACTGCCATCGTCTGCTATATAATAGCACTTGTGCACAACAAAGTCAAAGCATATTCGTCATTGTTCGAACTATCGTTATCATCTAAAACACAACTACTTACACTATTCCAATTGTAATTTAAAAAGAATTACCCCCATTCAAAGAAAGCAGGGGACTATTAAAATGGGTTCGTCCGTCCGTCTATCTGTCCGTCCGTCTGTCTGTCCGTCACACTTTTTGGGACACAATAACTCACTTTCTAATTGAGCTAGAATCTTCAAACTTGGTGTAGGTGTTTATTAGGTTGATGCCTTGATGGAGTTCGAAGATGAGCATTTTCGGCTTAGGGTAAGCAGAGATAAGCAATTTGATTGGTTGATGCTTTGGGACACGATAACTTTAGTTCTAATTAAGTGAGAGTGATGAAACTTGGTGTATAGTTTCATTACATCAATACCTTGACTAAGTTCGATAATGAGCATTTTCTGCTCAGGGTAAGCAGAGCGATAAGCAATTTAATTGGTCGAGACCTTGGAACACAATAACTCTTCCTGCTAATTGAACTAGGGGGGGTTGGATGGCTGAATGGTTAGCGTGCGCGCGCTGTATCATAAAGTCTGTCATTGAGTCGACTGGCGTGGTTTCGAATCCCCGGTTGTACGTGACAAGGAGTAGGGTCGCCTGTCCAACGTCGTGGGTTTTCTCCGGGTCCTCCGGTTTCCTCCCACAGCTAAAGACCCCTACGCACAAGCGAATTATATATATAACATTAAACCATATGTTAGTCCCGAAATGACCTAGTTTGTGTGGAGTGGACATTAAACCCCATTTCTCTCTCTTTCTAATTGAACTAGAATGTTCAAACTTGGTGTAGGTGTTTATTAGGTTAATGCCTTGATGGAATTCGAAGATGAGCATTTCCTGCTTAGGGTAAGCAGAGATAAGCAATTTGATTGGTTGATGCTTTTGGACAGATAACTTTAGTTCTAATTACCTTGACTAAGTTTGATAATGAACATTTTCTGCACAGGGTAAGCAGAGCGATAAGCAATTTGGTTGGTCGAGACTTTGGAACACAATACATCATTCTAATTGAGTTAGAATGTTCACACTTGGCATAGGCATTCATTAGGTGAATGCCTTGATGGAGTTCTATGATGAACATTGTCTGCTTACGGTAAGCAGAAATAAGTAATCTGATTGGTTGAGGCTTTGAGGCACGATAACTTTGGTTATAATGAAGTGAGAGCGATGGAACTCCGAATATAGATTCATTATATCATTACCTTGACTAATTTCGATGGTGAGAATTTTCTGCTTAGGCTAATGAGCGATAAGCAATTTGATTGGTCAAGACTTTGGAACATAACAACTCTGCTTTTAATTGAGGTAGAATGTTTAGACTTGATGTAGATGTTCATTAGGTGAATGTCTTGACTGAGTTCAATGATTAACATTTTGTGCTGAAGCTTAAGCAGAGCTAATCAATTTCATTGGTCAATACTTTGGGACATGATAGTCTGGATTCTATCTGATAGAGAGTGATGAAACTTAGTGTATAGTATGATTGCTTGATACTTAAAAAAAATAAATAAATGTGCGATTAATTAATGTGTGTCATCTATTTATTTTGGGATTTTGGCGGGGGACATCAGCCTCACTGTTGGCTTGTTTTATTCTATTTTTAGTAATGTTAAGCATATTATTATTACCATGTACGATTAGAAATATTATTGTCTAGTATTTATCAGTTATATTGAAATAAAATCTGTTTCAAATAAATCACGAACAAAATTTGGATTATTATTCAAGTTAGTCCTACATTTAGCAAATAATTATTTTATATTTTCCGTAATTAATATTATGGGCCTAGTATTAGACTAGAATAAAACCCCTGTATCTCGATAAAAGATTGCTACCGTGGAGTTAAAAAACCTTCATCTTATACACTGCATCGACTTATTTATGGATGAAGGCCTGAAAAACAGTAGTACATAACGATTCGACTTAGACTCCACATTGACTTATACCCCTTAAAATATGGTAAAAACTCCTGTACCTCAATAAAGGATTGTTATCGTGGAGTTAAAAAACATTCGTCTTATACACAGCTTCGACTTATTTATGGTTGAAGGTCCGAAAAACAGTAAAATATAGTGATTCGACTTATACTCCATATTGAGTTATACCCCTTAAAATTTAGTAAATGTACCTGAAGGTCAATTTTTTTTTCTAAATTAGGTTTATGCAGTTGTATTAAATAAAGTATAACAATGTAATTACAATTCTTAATAGAGAATCATATACTGAAGTGTATGAGATTATATAGAATGTGGCATGACTGCTCTTCTTATTTAACATTGTTAGATATTTAATTTGTCAAAGATATTAATGAATATTGATTGATTACAGATACCTAGTATGAGTAAAAGAATGATTACACCATACAGCGAGGGACCAACAAGAGAATATCTATCATATTTAGCCAATAATTATTGTGAAGATCAAAAAGCTGTATTGTGTGATGTAGTGCCAAGAAAGAGTAAAGAGAGAAATCGTAGTAAAAGTGAGAGTGATCCGCCAGTAAAGAAGGCTGTTAATAAAAAACGTAAAGAAAGACAGTTATCTGTGTGTTCTGATATGAGTAATAAATCTGAAGATGGTGATAATATGATGCCAGATATTGTTGAAGATACAGTATGTTATTTTATAAAGCTTGTACAATTGGAATAAGCTATGCATGCTGGATGACTGCATAACAAAATTCAGATATAACAAACAATACAAGAACATGGCAAAGATAAATTAAATAGATTTATATTAAAATAACAGTGCATTATTTGCATTATTTGCATTTTTATACGCCTACTTGGAAATGTGGACGTATATTGCCGTCGCCCCCGTCCGTCCGTCGTCCACAATTTCTTGTGAACGCTCTTAACTCCAAAAGTTATCATCCGATTATTATAAAACTGATATATGTTGTTTACATTAGCGAGATGAAGAAGCCTATTTAATTTCAATAATTTCTGTTTATTACGTCTGGCCCATGTTTCACTTTGTTGAACCTTGTGAACACTCTAACGTCAAAAGTTATCTGCTGATCTGTATGAAATTTATATGCATTGTTTAGATTAGTGAAACTATTGAATTTTCAGCAATTTACAATAATTACTTCTAGAGTTAAGGTTATCATCCAATCGATGTGAAAATTATATGCATTATTTAAATTAGTGAAACGAAAAAGTCTATTGACTTTCAGTAATTTCCGTTAATTACTTTTAGAGTTATGGCCCTTGTTTCACTTTGTTGCACCTTGTGAACGCTCAAAAGTTATCTGCTGATCTGTATGAAATTTATATGCGTCATTTAAATTAGTAAAAAGAAGAATCCTATTGAATTTCAGCAATTTCCGTTAATGTATGAAATTTATATGCATCATTTAGATTGGTGGAACCATGAAGCCTATTGAATTTCAGCAATTTACAATATTTACTTCTAGAGTTATGGCGGGGTTGGATGGCCGAATAGTTAGCATGTGCGCGCTATATCATAAGGCCTGTCATTGAGTCAACTGGCGTCGTTCTAATCCCTGGTTGTACATGACAAGGAGTAGGGTCGCCTGTCTAACCTCGTGGGTTTTCTCTGGGTCCTCCGGTTTCCTCCCACTGCTAAAGACCCCTACGCGCAAGTAAATTATTATTGAAATAAAATTAAACCATATGTTAGTCCCGAAATGACCTAGTTTGTGTCGAGTGGACGTTAAACCCCATTTCTCTCTCTCTCTAGACTTATGACCCTTGTTACACTTTGTTTAACCTTCATAATGCCTGATTGATGAACGTTATCATCCGATATGTATGGCCCTTGTTTTACTTTGTCAACCTTTTGAATGTTCAAATGACAAAAGTTATCCAATCTGTATGATATTTATAAAACGTAAAAGCATGTCAAATATCAAAATTTTCTGTAAATTACTTCTAGAGTTAAGGCCCTTGTTTCAGTTTGTAGAACCTTGTGAACCTTGAACAACAAAAATTATAATCTGATCTGTATGAAATTGTCTTGTAAATGCCCCCAATTACCTACAAAAGAATAAAATGTGTCAACCCTTGTTGACTGCTCGGACGATTTGTATGTTTCGTGGCCTGGCAACCTGTCTTTCGCTACTATATATCAAAATTTCTCACAGATTAATATATGCTAATATTAGTAAGAGATCTCGTCTTAAAATTAATTTAATTTACAACTACCTTTAAAAACCAAGGAACAACCATGTAGATCAACAATTATGCATAATTTCTTTCTTTTTTCTTTTTTTTAAGAATAATTCAGCTACTGCTTCAGAAAGTTTACCTATATGTATACCTACTACAATAGATGTTGATGTATACGCCAGTCCATCTGATACAGAACCTACATCACCTAGAGATTTATTTAGTCCACAAACTCATCCAAACAGTGGTATGAGTTTACGTGATATTATGAAAGCAGAAGAAAAAAGTAACAAGCCAAACAAGAAGAATGCAAGGTGAGAAAAATAAAAAATATTTTTATAAGTCCTCAATTGCCTTGTGATGTGATAGAGGCTTAAGGTTTTGACGGATTCTTTTCAAATTGGGTGTGAAGCATTTGGGTCATGAGAGGATGATTCCTATTGATTTTCAGCATTCCACGACTTTCCGTATTGAGTTTCGGAAAACCTTCTAAATGTGGTAGAGGCTACAGTTGTTAGCATGATATAAGTATGTTTTTATTATTGCATGCTTAAAGTACACCAGAATGAATGTTTTTTTTTATTCAGTGCTACTCCAGGGAAGAGCAAAATATCCTGGAAGGAGGCTAAAAAACTGCAGAACCAGAAAGAAGCTGAAGAGAAAAAACAGAAAGCTGCAGAAAAAAAAGCAAAAGAAAAACCTAAAGAAGTTATTTGTCCATGGTAAGAATATCTACTTAATATATAAGTATATAGATATTATCAAATAAATAAACAAAGGTTATCAAATAAATAAACAAAGGTAGGCACTATTATTGATGCGTGTACTATATGACACGTTTACAGAATTTATAAGGGAGATTTGAGGCAGGGAATTTTCAATTGACAATAACGATCTTTGTCGTAAATAATGTTTGTCAAATTTACCAATGTATCAGCGATGCATTGCAAGTAGATCTATGTTTGCTCCTAATGCATCAATGCATAAAATATTACTTGATTGATATCAACACTAACAAGTAAATGGCTATTACATCAACATTACATTAAACCTCTCTCTCAGAAATAATGACCCTTTAATATAATAAAGTGGGTAGTACAATCCTTATTTGTATAATTATTTATGCAGGTTATGACATTTTGTTATGCATTTAAGGGCAAGTTCTAGCAGTAAAGTTGTGAAATCTTTCCGTGATTTGATGGTAGCGGATGAGAGTGAAAAACCAGTTGTTAAAAGACTGCCGAGAACCAGTATAAGTGAGATGGATATCTCCAATGAGGAATGTACAGACACACTGTCTCTTAGCAAATCCCCACAAGACTTGAGTCTTTCTAGGTATGACTAATTTATCATACACCACAGAAAATATACATCTCAAATGATTAGTAGAACAATATCATGAATTTTTAGAATTTTATCATATTTAGGAGATAAACACCTCCTGTTTCGCATTTAGAGGGGTGTTATTGTCCAATAGACATGTCCTGAGATCATTAGGACCCAAGAAGCGTTAGCGTCGCAGGTCCTAATGTAAAATCTCAGGACATGTCTATTGGACAATAACACCCCTCTAAATGTGAAACAGAAGGTGTTTATCGACATTGTAACATGCTATTTTTTAGAATTTTAAAAGAACTTATTTTATTGTGTAAACTTCAAAATTCGTCTCACTGCAAATCGCTTTTAGTGACGTAAAAACCAAAGAAATCAATTTTGACGTAATGAAAACGTCGTGACATAGCGGGGGAACTGGCTGCTTATGTTAGATTTGGCTCGCTTATCTTCTGGTTGCTATAGTAGCCGTATGAGTATAGACGCACAAAAAAAACCTAAAATTCTTTTTGAAACAAAATTCAGGTTTTTGTATATTTTGTTGTTTGTAGCTGTTACCTGACAAAGGGGTTGGCATTTAAAGTTCATCTTCGGACATATCTCCAAATATTTTATCTAATGTACCGAGATCAAAATTGATTGTCTCCATTGTGGTTATCGCCATTAAAGTAGTATGCATAATATTAATACGCAGTGATTTTACTAATTTAGAGGGGTGTTATTGTCCAATAGACAGTGTCTAATCGACCAATCAAAATGCAAGATTCACCCTTAAGCATGTTACAATCTCTCTTAGATACTTCATAGGGGCGCTCACAGACAGCTAAATTTCTGATTATGTTGTTTGAAAATTATGAATGTCTTTATAATATAAAATACATGTAGTTCTAAGAAATCAGTTCCATATCTCTGATGAAATGTATTCTTTTATTTCTTCAAAGTTGGATGAGTTTTCCTGTAAGACCAAAACCTAAAACCGAGAGTCCACCTGAAGAAAAACCTCCAGTAAATCCATGGCAGACATTGCCTAAACTTCAAAGCCCACCATTCACAGATCACAGTTTTACCGATATACTTAAAGATGAAAGACATAAAAAAGTTGTGTTTGAAAAAATTAAGAAGAAACCCTTCAAACTTGTACAGGTATGTAATTGATACAATAAACTTATGCCAATTAAAATATCAGCCAACAGACATTGCACATTTTGTCAATAAGAAATATGGTATTAATTATAAATAGAGTTTTTAACATTAAAACGTCTTTGCTTGACAACCGATACAATGAGTTATATATTTGTTCATCAGGAATTCCCATAAACATTTTGCTTCCTATATCTAAGGGAAAAAAATAATTTAAGGACTGAAAGTAACTTGTTTACTTTTAATTCCAATTTTTGTAAGTTTTGAATTATTAAATAAACAACTAAATACGGAATGGAATTGGTTTGACCGGAGTGATTGCTTGTTGTTCTGAAGTTTTCTGGCTAACATTGGTACCATGTTACTCTAACATGGTTTGGTTTTTTTTTTTGTTGATGTGAATTATCTATGAGATGATCATGATGAATGTAATTTCAGATTGAGGACAGTGCGATACAAGAACTACTACAACATTATAAAGCATATGATAATTATGATGAGTTTATAACAGTAGAACGTGTACAACGTGAAACAGCTACTCCAATGTGGATTAAAGAAAAGAAAAAATCTGGAGCCAGTATATGGTGATCATAAAGAACAGGGATACATACTTACCATGTATCTATATTACAGCAATTTATTTTATACATTCAAATCTACATTGAATTTGTATCAAAAAACTATGTTATTCTTTGCTAAATTAAGGGGGGAAAAATATGAAAAAGAAAATTGAGACCCCCCCATCTATTATATTACTTTTGGTAGTAGACTTACAAGTTAATGATTGTTGTATAACTAATATAAATGTCAAGGTAAATGGTGCTATATTTGTTATGTTTTCTTGTTTTTTTTATTACATGGGGTCTGGTCACGGGTCATCACACACAATGCAAATATTCCATATAAAACATCTTAATTAATCCTTATATGACTTGGTTTTTACTGAGTGATCGTGATAACTTATATTTCATTTTGTTCTCCCTTTGTTGAAATTATTTCTATTACACAGTATATATTTATTTACATATTATTATCTACCTGTATGGTATGTATTCAGTCTAAAACTACAACACAATAAACACACATTATTTTATGATGTTCTCTAACATATCTTTTATGTACATTGTGATTATTGTATATAGTCTTTTTCAATGTCTTCAGGAATATATATACCATCTATATATATTTCATAATTGTAACATATTCTTCAGAGGATTGTTTCTCAAAAAGCAAATTTATTGAATTTAGTGCTTATTCTATTAAGACATACAGTAGTTATCAGTGGTTTGACCACAGAAAGAATGGCCATGGCATGTTAGAATTTTAATTAACAGGCATCATGATTTGTGTAAATTTATGTTCAGTATATTTTAATTTTATTTGAATAATGATCATGTATAAAGGTAAATGTATATTATTTTGAGAATATCTAAATGTAAATATTATATGTTAATACATTTATTTTGTCTACTTCATTGAATTTAAGCTGATTAATTGTATTATTTATAATATAGTATGGTTTTATGTGTGGTTTAATGGTTGATACTGTACAAGGATGTTAGTCCGAGTGTTGTTTCAATATATTGTGCAATGTCTTGCTCTAGACCATTAAACAACTTAAAATACAGACACTATCCTGCGCTTGTATTTCTATGAAATTATCAAGCAAATCCAATATTTCAATATTGTACGCATCTGTATTTTAAATGTATATAAATCTAAATGTCCTATGAAAGAATTAGTTATTTTCCCAAAAAGAAAATAAAAATTTGCTGGGATTGTAATAATTGTTAATGACATAATATAAATAAATTTATTTTGTTATAGATTATAATGTTATTATATTTCTGATGGTAATTGGGGTGATGATTTTGTGAAATCTGTCCTGCGTGCAAGCAATTTATTGAAATAAAAATTGAACCATATGTTAGTCCCGAAATGACCTAGTTTGTGTCGAGTGGATGTTAAACCCCATTTCTCTCTATATATAAGGTGCTCAAAGGAGTAGTATGATAACAAATGGTGTTCTGAGTGAAAGGAACACTAGCCTTCAGTACAAAATACACATAACCATACTAAAACAAAGTAAGACACAATTTATTAAACTGAAATATTTCCAAGTGAACATGCTGGTTTTAGTCATATTTTCATGAATGAAATTAATGAGCTTATTATTGGTTACGATATATAAACTCCAACAAGGATGGTTTTCTGGTTTAAGTCAACATTCTAGTCAATTAGGTGCAGTTATACAAATCTTACTAGGATTAAATGTCTTATTGTATCAACGACACCAAATGATTGGAAATAAATATCTGATGAAAACAACAAACAATTTATAAATATAAATATTTTCTGTAGTGTGCATATATTTAATTGATTTAAACTAACAACACTTAACATTGAAAACTAATAACAATTAACATGGTTATATATTTATGTTTACATGTGACAAGTTGAATAGCCTATTTTCATTATGAATTTCTACCTCCTAATTATCCTTGATCTCTACCGTATATCACAGTTAACTATTTAGATTAACAAAATTTACATACAAATTTGTCAACATTCAGCAAACAATATAAACAAGATGGTGCCACCTATAATCTTTGCTTATATCTTGTGATGGGCCTCTTTTTAATCAGATTAAATCCAAGCCAGGATATTATCTACTGTTGATATTTTGATTTTATTTTCTTAAGTACATGTTAAATAATGAATACGAGTACAATTAGAAGATATTTAGATTGTGTACAATAAAATTACAAAGATCTACAACAGCCTTTACTATAAGCATTATTATAAATAGCACTTTATTTGACTATAGATCTAATAACAATAATGACATGGAACAGGGGCCGGATTAAAGGGGGGGGCTGGCTGCAGCCAGGGGCGCCAACGTTAGCTCTAAAAAAATTATACCATAAATAGACGTCATATGTTACGGTACTGATTAACAAGGAAGGCATACAATTTTCAAATTGCATTTGTGTGAGTGCATTACTGTTGATGCAAGGGCCCCAGTGACATTTTCAGCCAAGGACCCCATTCAAGCTTAATCCAACCACGCATGAAACCAACACATTATTTTTAATAAAATAAAACAATTGCAAACAGCAAGCACACATGGGATGGGAGTGACTATATATTTGGACAAGTCTAAGTAAATCTCAACTATGGCATCTTCGTCATGAAAGCACTTGGTTGACTGGGACAAGACCTGATTTCATTGAGTATAGGACCCAACACCCCTTTAGAAAATAAAATATTTTGTAAAAAAATCTAATACAACCGAATAAATGTTATTAAAAAGGAAATATTATTGACAAATCAGTCCACAATAGAAATAAATATCACAAATGTGGAGTTAGGGATGATTTTCCTCAAACTGCATTTTAGTATGAAAGCAAATTATTAGCAATTATAATAGTCTGGAGACTCAGTGCAGGGTGGGTGGGTGGGTGGGAGGGGAGGGGTATCAAATGGGCACAAAACCAGACCCCACTTTGGGGCATTTTGGAGATATTTGGGGTCAAATGAGGTCATGAAAACGTGCTGAAAATGATGGAAAGTAATCACTCTTTCAATAAAAATGTAAACTTGCTAAAATATGTAAAAACTGTCAAATCAAAATCTCTCCAATTTAGTTTCACAATGATTGCTATACATAATGAAACTAGTCCGAAAAAACAATTGAATAGTTTTATGGCTGATACCCCCCCCCCACCCCCCGTACTGAGCTTTAGGTCTATAACATTCATACATCAACAAATATAAATGTTTTTATCATTGCCTAAATAATAACATTCGTTCGGCACATGTTTTTCCTGTCAGTTTAGCATATTCTAACACCTCATCTTCATCTTTTACTCTAGGATTTTCAAATCTGTAAATTTCATACGTCATAGCTTCACCATTACGTAACACTAAAACTTTGTTAATATCAATCTTACTGTCTTTGTCCTCTGAAAAATAAATAAACTATAAGCGACTCCACAGAAAGAGACAAAATGACCACATATATATGATTCAGTGTTCTGTTCAATTATTTATTTGGGCCAGTTGCATGAATATTTTATATTACTGTAAATTTTCTATGACATGTGAAACCAAAACTCATGATAATTGAAATATTTCCCTTCTTATTAATTCATAAGAAACTAATGGTATCTTATAACCCTACAAACTATCACAAAACTGGAATTCGTAATTCTCCATATCACTTACCTGTGTTATTGTCATCTAATTTACAATATTTTGTGGCGTCAAGTTTAGGACGACATTTCTCTATAGGAACCCAGGCGTACGTCTCAGGACAAACAAGAAATGAAGGTGTATATTGTCCCTGTAATACAATGTATAAAAACTACAAAGATTAAAAATAAGTAGGGATCAATAACAGGGGTAGGACCAAGAGGACTTATGCACAAGCCTGGTATCAAAACCATGCCACTTGACTCAATGACAGACATTATGAAAGATACACAGTGTACATAGTGTTTGGCGCTTTGAGCATGCATATGGAAATTTGCGCATTATAAATCTACACTATTATTAAGCTTTCATATGTATTACATATGAAAGCTTATTGTTTCTGTTAAGATTATTATTGTTTTATCCACAAATCAGATTTCTCAGAATCTAACCATAGGATCTTTCTGAAACTTTTACCTATCCCCCCAAAAATGGGTGGTGGCTGTTGATTAAATATATTTTCAAAACGTTTTACGCATCCGAAATCACCGAATTTTACGAACAAATGCATTTGACCTACAATGCTGTAACTTTGTGACTATTTGACCTATTTTACTAAATCTTTTTTCTTTGAGTACCTTGAGACAATTACTTCAAATCTGCAGATTCAGATTTTCGAATTTCGAAAATTCGTCTTTTTGATTTCAAACCCGTATTTATGACCAATTTGACAACTTCTTTAATAGTTGTACGATTTTCATGAAATTTAGCATGTAAGTAGATCTTACCGATGCGACTTCAAAAATATGATTAGAATTTTGCTAAATTATCTCCCCTTAATGTAATTAAGGATCAAAATTTTCAAAAAAATCATCGAAATATAGGTCAGAATGACCTAATTTTTTTTTTCGATACTAGACAAGTAATTACTGATTCATATACAAAATATGGAGTTTGTCGATCGAACCGGAAATGCCACCATCTTGAAACGCGAAAAGTCTCAATAACTTTTGCGATATTGCACTTACAGACATGGGAGTTATATTTTCTGAATCCCTGAAGGAATGCCTAAAAAACGTTCAGAGCAGAATTTTGATTTAGGTCAACTGATGGCCGCCATTTTGAAGTGAATATGAAAAATATTTTTAATATGTAATAGCTAGAATCCCAAGGTACATTCCGTGCAAATTTGAAGGCAATCGGACCAACGGAACGTTGCCTGGGCAGAGCAAATTAACCCCGGTCACGAAAATTTGCTCATTCTTCAACGTTATTATAATCTTGTATTATGACCGCCATCTTAGATCCATCTGGGTCCCCGATCCACCGTCACTTATCAAACCACTCCGAAATAGACCCAAAATCCCCAAATCGACCTTAATTTCTTTTGACTTATCACATGCGCCACGCTGGAACCAAAGGTACTATGACTACCAAATTACAGCGAGGAACTTTTCACGTTGGGACCTAGGTACCCTGAAACATTCAAGCCGATAACTGCATTCATTCATGTCGTTTGTTCTTCACACGGTTCCTGTCGTTCAGCTTTTTCCACCATTTACGGCTTCAGTAAGTGCAAAAAAAGTGGAATTTCGCCATGACACCGGCACCGATTGTCCGAAAACCATGAAATTTGGACACAATACGCCCATTACCACCCCGGACTTTGTGCGTTACTCCCATTTTGATCCGATTAAAAAAAAAGAGTTTTAGCAAAAAAAAAGATTTTCGGTCAACTGATGATCTCCATTTGGAATTGAATATGAAGAACAGTGAAAAATCCACTTGAACAGACGTGAAAATAAACACAATAGGCCGTAATATGTTCAATGTGTCTCTTATTTCTGAAATTAATGCATTTCAGGCTAACTCAGGATCAAGATCGATTTTTTGGTGTTTGAAAATTTTCAAAATTTCGTATTTCGCCTTTGACCTTTTACGTGCCGACAAAGTTGTTTGCAGGACAATTTATGCCTTTAATTTTCAAAATTTACGAATTTAACCTAAATATTCGAACAGCTATGGTTCCGTTCAAAGTTCTTTCATTTATTTTTTTGATATTTTCCTGCCCCTTTTTAGTTCTTTCCCGCCATTTTCGTTTCATGTTCTCATCCATCCCGTTTTTAAACGGCTTGATCCATTTTTCTGAAACTTCTGGAACAGAAAGTCATTCCGATTACAGCAATCCAAGTCTCAGTTATTTCCCTTTAGTTTCCAGATTATTTTGTTGCCCGGGTGCAATGTTTCTCACTATATTTAGACTTGTAACTTCGCGACTTTTTCACAGATTTTGATAATTATTTTTTTTGTTCTTTTTTCTTTTAAGATACTTGATATAATCCATGTCACGTGACGATGAATATGAAAGCTTTCATATCTGCATGGGACAGTAGTAGATCTAGTTATTATTATTATTATTCGTTAGACCACTCGACCACTTCCCCTCCATGACATAAATGTTGCATGGAGAGTATAACTTGTGGCACTTAATTAAATAACCATGGATTTTGTCCCATTACTGTAGAAAAATAGTTAGTCTACCTTATATCTCATTTTGTGACAAGAATGTATGTAGAATCCCATATAATAATATTTAAGATTTGGAGCATATTTATTTAAATCTCTAGTAAAGGCCATCTCCCTGTAAATACATCAAATTAAAAGTTGAAACAAATATATTCTGCTGTTAACAAAAAAGAGATAATCCTTAATTTGACTTTGGCATGGGATGATAAGCATCCTGTAGGTCAGAGACATTACGCAGTATGCTCAGTACAATATTTTTATTTCCATAATATTTAGATAAGCAAAATAGCTCACACAATCACAACATAATTATGTAGAATAATCAAATGACAATTAATTGTCTTTTATGAGCTCCATTCTTTGCCCATGTCCTGACAAAAAAATTATAAATGAGTGTTACTTACCTAAGAGCTGAATAAGTTCCAAGTGAAAGGAAAGAATATTCTGGATCATAATATAAATAAACCGATGATACACAATATGGTAAAATATCTATCACACCTACAGCTATTAATTTACCATCTAATATATAATGTTGATGAAAAGAACCATAACCCATTGGTAGATCACCTTTTTTACTCTGCAAGTTAACAAATAATCATTAAATGACTTTAAAATCGGTTTTCATAAACATATAATAAACAAGTCAACAGTGAGGCTGATGTACCCAGCCGAAATCCCGAAATAAGTAGATGACACATATTAATTAATTCCACGTTATTTATCATTTTCAAAAGTATCGAGCAGTCAAACTGATTATCAACTATACACTAAGTTTCATCACTCTCTATCAGATAGAATCGAAGTCAAAGAAATGGCTTAGCTGTGCTTAGCTTTAGCGGGAAATGTTAATCATTGAACTCAGTCAAGACATCAACATCAAGTTTAAACATTCTAACTCAATTAAAAGAGTTGTTATGTTCCAAAGTCTTGACCGATCAAATTGCTTAACGCTCTTTAGTCTAAGCAGAAAATTTTCATCAAACTTAGTCAAGGTAATGATATAATGAACCTATACTCAAATCAAATTGCTTATCTCTGCTTACCATAAACAGACAATGTTCATAATCGAACTCCATCAAGGCATTCACCTAATGAACGCCTACAAGAAGTTTGAACATTCTACCTCAATTAGAAGGAGAGTTATTGTGCTTCAAAGTCTCGACCAATCAAATTGCTTATCGCTCTGCTTGCTCTCAGCAGAAAATGTCCATCATCGAACTTAGTCAAGGTATTGATGTGATGAAACTATACACCAAATTTCATCACTCTGATTTAATTAGAACTAAAGTTATTGTGTCCCAAAGCATCAACCAATCAAATTGCTTATCTCTGCTTACCCTTAGCAGATAATTCTCATCTTTGAACTCCATCAAGGTATTCACCTAATAAACACCTACACCAAGCTTGAACATTCTAGCTCAATTAGAAGGAGAGTTATTGTGTCCCAAAAAGTGTGACAGACCGGGCGGAGAGGCGGAGAAACAGACAGACGGACGAACCCATTTTAATAGTCCCCTGCTTTCTTTGAAAGGCGGGGGGACAATAAGTTGAGAAAAACCTTGATATTACAAAAATTTGTTCAGATCAAATAAATTGATAAAAGAAACAGAAGCAAACACAGCATCAGAGAAACTCAATAATTTTAACAATATCAGTGAATATGTGACCTATAAGCCATTGTATTTTTGATAATAGAGAGGGAAATGAGGATTAACGTCCACTCGACACAAAGTAGGTCATATCGGGACTAATTATTTCAATAATTTGTTGGTGTGTAGGGGTCTACAACAGTAGAAGGAAACTGTAGGACCCAAGGCGACCCAACTCCTTGTAATGTACAAGCTGCGGATCAAAACCACACAACTTGACTCAATGACAAACCTTATGATCTAAAGCGCACTCAACTGCCAAACCCTCTCATCTATGATAATTGCTATCAGTCAATAAAATTCCATAAGCTTTGTTCTAAATATTTAAAGACATGTGTCAGTACTGTTGAGACAGTCAAGTTTAGAAATTTCTGTCTTCCTTTCAAATATTCAAATTTGACAAATAATTGGCCTATATATGGATTAAATCAAATTTGAAACTAGAAGCTGCATGCTCTATGTGTTTTATAATGATATTAAATGTACCTCTATTAATGGGGAGTCTACTAGAAAACCTGTAAAAGCTGATTTAGTACAATCAGAAGCTGGTTCTTTATGTATAGCCATCTGATATTTCTTAAACACTGAATGGGATTCAATAAAACTTGACTTATATTCTTCTGATGCAGGGTTTGTTCTTACTAGTTTGATCTAAAAGTAAAATAAGGAGAAATATTAATTAGTACCCTTAGTGGAGAATCACAGAGAAATCTGGTAAATTGCCGTTCAGTGGGTTTTTCAGGAGGATCTTTATGTACGCTCATTTGATATTTATGGTAAATTTGATGAGATGTCTTGAAGGAGCTATCAAATTCTGTACTTCGTGGGGTGGAGCGAACAAGTCTGATCTGAAAATTAAGATAATTAGCTAAATTACTAATGTAACTTTGCATAAGGCAATGCAATACCTTCAATTTCAAGCATAATATTTAAAGCAAGATACCAGTTAACTATTCGAAAAAGGTTTTAACATACTGAGTAATTAAAACCTGGGTGTGCAAGGAGGCCAACAATCATTTTCCTGATTAAATGTAACAAAAATAAGGACTGGAAACGGTACTTTTTTGTTGTGTATGGTCAGAAAGTCATTGTGCATTCAAAAAGAACAAAACTGTCGATCTTAAGAAATTTCTAATTCTATTTGGATTTGCAATGTAACCGTTGTCATCTTAAATTTTTCTCAATTAACTTCCACATCAATTGTTCTCCTAGAATTATATCTGTTAATTTCAAGGACACGTAAAATCAATTCTAAATGCCGGACATGTATCCATAGTCTTGAACAATCCCAGTAAGTATCCTAGAAAATATATGCCATGTTTGTTAAAGTTGATTTTATAATTACAAAAAAGCCCAGCCTACCTCTAATTTGTGAGCAGGATTTTCCACTTTATCAGGTTCATTAAGAAAATCTTCTAATGTTTTCTCTGTTGGTTCTTTTGCTTTTTCCTAAAAACATTAAAACTCATTTTTTAAATCTCTTTTTAAATCATATTTCTCTGATTTTGTACGCAAATGGGTTAAGGAGCTGGACCATTTATAAATTCTATACTTTAAATTAAAATAATACAAAAAGGAAATATTGTGACATGTAGAATGTGGCCATACTATATTTTAGATGTTTTTATTGAGAATTAAACCAGAAGTCTCAGTACTGTGGTTAAATGTGTTATCATATCAAGAGAAAACATCAATAGTTGCCGTCCTTAGGGTATAAAGTATAAGGAATAAGTATACCAAGTTCCAAGATAATCCATTCAGAATTGTGGCCTTCGGGCGCTAAAGGCAAAAATTGGGTGTGGCTCTGCCCCTGGCGTTTGGGGCATTCACCAAAATCAATAGTTGACGCCCTTAGGCTATAAGAAATACATATGCCAAGTACCAAGATGATTCATTCAGAATTGCGGCCTGTATATGATAAACATAAAAATTAAGCTCCAAGGCCTGAGGCGGCAGTTGCTGGAGGGCCTATTTAGTTTTTAAAGTTAGAGCCAAGGTAGTTGCTAACATTAAAAACGGGATTCGTTACTGAGGTTATAATATTATTAAAATATTAGTTATAACTATTGAAATTTGTCGTACAAAATGCTTTGACAGCAGAAACATCACCGGAAACCAACTGTACATACACCTATTTTCAAGGATAATATTTCCTCATGATGGGGTGTTTACATCGAAACTAGCGCAAGATCTTTTGCTAGATATTTTTTCTTAAGCCAAAGTCGTTTGATATTGGTAATGTAACTTTATATGCCCATAAATGACGTCACATGGATACAATATATTAAGCAAGACATAACCGAAAACTTACAAGGATTTAACGTACATTGTAGGCCTACGTTTAAAAAATAAGATCAGATCTCCAAACAATAGGGCCTATTTAAAATGGTGTGGGCCTAATTAATTTCGGGTGAGGGCCTATGTTGATTCCCGTTGGGCCTCCCCCCCCCCCCCCTAACATTCATTGTCTATGCGTTTTTAATCGTATCAGACAAGTCTAAAAAAAATTTTTTTACAAAATCTTTGGGCCTGAGGCTGCAGCCTCATCAGCCTCACTGATAATCCGCTACTGGTTGCCGTACTTAGGCTATGAGGAATACATATGCCAAGTTCCAAGATGATCCATTAGGAATTGTGGCCTGTAGGCAACACACAAAGAAAAAATGGGTGTGGCTCTGCCCCTGGGGACCGAAATGAAATGAAATGGGGTTTAACTTCCTACTGTTCTGCTCCTAACCTGGGCTAATGAAGACGGGCATACGCCATACAGTGTGCTATGAGGGAAATTTTGCCCGGGCAGCGGCGCTACGGCCTACACTTATATCGAATTCCAACTGCCAAGGGATCTTTTACGTGCACGCCAATTTGTACACGGGACCTCGTTTTTTTGTCCCATCCGAACGACTAGACAGCTGTCCTTGTCAGGCTTTCCGTCCTGCATCACTGAGCAAGGGGAAACCACGCCGGAAAATCGGGATGAACTTTCTCGGCCAATGCAGGGATCGAACACCCAACCTCCAGACTAGCGTGCCAGCGTCTTACCCACTTAGCCACGTGATCCCCCCCCCCCCCCCGGGGGCCAGGCATTCACCAAAAAACAATAGGGGTCATCCTTAGGGTATAAAGAATAGGTATGCAAAGTTTCAAAAGGATTTGTTAAGAAATGTGGCCAGTACGTGACAAAGAGACAGACACAAAAATTGGGCGTGTCTCTGTTCCAGGGATTGGGTATGCACCAAAAAATTATAGAGGTCATTCTTAGGGTATAAGTACTATAAGGAATAAGTATGAAAAATTTTCAAGATGATCCATTAAGAATTGTGACCTGTAGGCAACACACGGACAGACTCACAAAGAGAAAATGGGCGTTGCTCTGCACCTGGGGGTTGGGCATGCATCACAAACAATAGGGATGATCCTTAGCGTATAAGTATGCAAAGTTTCAATATGATCTGTTAAGAAATATGGCCTGTGGGCGACAAACAAATACAAAAAATGGGCGTGGCTCTGCCCCTGGGGGTCTGGCATGCACTAAACACATTAGAGATCATCCTTAGGGTATAAGAAATAAATATGCAAAGTTTCAAGACAATCCATTCAGAATTGCAGCCTGTAGGCCACCCACAGACACACACACAGAGACAGTGGCGAATAATGTGGACGTATAAAAAGAGTTATTTGATAAGATGGTCATGGACATGTTTTTGTTATATAAATCAATATCTTACTTGTAGGTGAACTTGTTCAGTATTCTTAAGTAATTTTTCTTTCTTTTTTTCAGCTCTAATCTGTTTGGCTTTTTTACATGGCGGGAGTTTAGGATCAGCTCCTTTTCCTAAAAAATAAATAGTTTTAGTGAATGGCTTCTAATTAACACAAGCATGTGCTATCAGGTTATTCTTATGTTGTCAAGTTCGTTCGTTCGTTTCTTGAGTTTTACGTCCACTTCCACCTAAGGTGATATCGTAGACAAGTGTTGTCTAGGACATTGATTACTATTTATATAACTTATTCAACTGATATTGGGGAGCCACACAGTAGCTCAGTGAGTAGGTCCAGGTTGACAGTTGGAATGCAATTGCTGTACGGGCAGAATTTCCTTCATAGCACACTGTATGTCATATGCCTGTCGGAAAAGTAAGACATTGCATTCATTCATTCAATGATATCAATTTGTAATTTATTTTTTATTACAGAAGATACAAGCATATTTAAATCAAGGAGAATGGTGGTATTAACTCCTGAAATTAATTAAATTTTGTTACCAGGTTGAGGTTGATCTTTAGTTTTCTGTTCAGCAGTTGCATTCTTTTTACCAGCTACTGAAATAGAGCTAGTTGTACTTGATGTTTTCGTTGGGGTATCTTTGCTGTTTGCCTTCTGGTCAGAAGACAACTGATTTGTAGAAGAAGTAGAAGGTACCATTTTGATATCACTTGGAGTTTTACTGGGAAATTGTTGGAATTCATCACAGGAGATATCATTAGTACCTGAATCTGTTTCATGGTCCCCACTATTTCTTTCTCTCTTTGTTCCATGAATAAGGTATTTATTTATTTGTTTGATTAACTTTTTATGGGATTTATTCATCTTGAACTCCAGGACTGCACATTTGATTGTATTTTGTGGGCAACACGTCACATTTAAGGTGGGTTTATAACAGTATTTACCACTCCTAAAAACAGAAAGACAGGTTGCCATGCATCAAACCATACGCCCACAGCGGCTTAGTCACATGAGCAGTCCACAAAGGTTGTCACATATTTTGTTTTGTAGGTATTGAAGGCATTTAACAGATATTAAAGTTACAATTTCATATTTTCTAAGAAAGTCAAAGCATAATTATTTCTATGTCTTTTGCTCAATAGGTTGTCAACTCACTATTATATGATCATAGGTTATCTTTCTCACAAATTAAAATTTTCACACCGGAAATAATAACACAATTACCTCCCTTGTTTTCCTATTCCCCACCATGGAATAGCTATCTTCAAACAGTTGAATTTGAAGTTGAAAATGAATTTTTGCCAATTTCTCAACTGGCAATAGTGAATTATAGGATTAATAGGATTATTCTTTAACAAGGTGGGACTGTTTATAGATACCATCTATTTTAGGACTTTATTTTAATACATTTTAGAAATAAACTTAAAGATGGGTTCTCAGAAAAGTATTTATCGGGTGGTTATTTCCAATAAAAGTATGGCAATTTTGGTATATATGGAAAGTAGAGATATCCAATCTTACAAGAAGAATACTGGATTCCCCGAAAAACACTCATGGAGCGTATACAGGACAAAAATATAAGAGTTCCCATAACCAACAGCCCGACGATTAAGAACTTCTGCACGCGTGATGTCAAAGGTCATTTACTAGTTGTGCCAATCAGATGATAGCTTTTGAGTTATTGAGATCTTCAAATGAACATAAACACAGCATATAAATTTCACATCATTCAAATAATATCATTAGCCCCTAGCGGGTGCATAAAATTTTAAAAAGTGATCAAGGGCAATAACTCTGGAGTAATTATCAGTTTCTTCATATCATGAACATAAATTTCAAGTCTATCAGACCATAACTTAGCCTCTAGGTATCCACAAGCAATTATTGTGGATGAAAAAAATTAAGGTGGATCAACGGACAGACCAACTAATGAATAACATGGAGGATGAGAGTATACAACCACATTCCAACGTGGGGAATGAAAATGGAATATTTTAAAATCATTGTACAAATGCTCTCAGACTCTGTATTTGATAAAAAAAAATATTATGTTTCATGGAAAGTAAATGTAAATACAGATTTGGATTAACAGCAATGATAAACTTTTAACTTAACTGGCTAAGAGGGAGGGAAAAAGTATTTCTTACACATTTGAATTATAAAAGATTAGCACAAACTATACCTTCTCCATCCTCGATCAATCAGATCTTGATAATCCTGAACAGTCAACGAATGAGCCCACATGCCTGTAAAAGTAAAAAAAAAACAAAAACAAAATTTTTTTATTAACTTCAAGAGCTGATTTTTTAGTTATCGTTCTGGTATACATATCTTGGGCTAGTACCTGAAATAGGCTATCTATATACTGTATGCATTTATACAAATGGCAGCAATGAATTTTGGAATAAACTATTCAAATTAAACAATGACAGTAGCTCTTTCAGAGGAATGAGTAGATTCTCATAATATGTGACAGGCCGCATCTAAATGTGAATGAGTCGGAATTCGAGAATCAATAATGAGATAAAGACAAAATAAGTGAAAATATTGATTTTGAACGAAATTGAGATTTTCACAAAAATGAGTCTATAAATATACTATCTATCGACACAGAAGATCAAAATAGCAATAAAACATTTCAAAACACCTGTATTTGAACGTTTTGTAAGAGTACCGTATTCTTAAATCTGTCCTATTTCTTAAAATTCTCGGCGAAATTAGTTATTTGTCTTTGCTAGCAGCGGGACGACCGGTCATTCCTCTTGCATAACAATTGGCATGGTTGTAAAGCGGAGCATCTCTAGTTTATAAATATGATCAAAATACTGTTGATGAATTGATTTTGAACGGATACAATCGAGTTTAAAAACCCTCCAAAAAGACATTACCTATCCATAAATATTTGGTTTTGGCGATAATGTTTTTGGGTACTTACATGTGATTCACTCTGATAAGTGGCAGAAAAAAAAAAAATTCTGATCGTAGTAATTGCCGTTGAGTGTTAATCGAAAACACCTGGCTGATGATGTAAATTAAGCGACAAGCAGGTGTGTGTCATTGAGTAATACTATTACTAATCAACTGTCACGGGTCAATGATAAAGCCGTCGACAACTCATTATTTACTCCGAATAATTAATCCAAGTGGTGATTATTTGATATCTCATATCTTTAAAAAAATAATCTATAGGCCTTAAATGGAAATAAACAAAATGGCCAATAATTTTCTTTTCGAAGAGAATTTTATTGATAGTTAAATTCCGTTTACCGTCGCTTCTTATATGGGTCGAAAAAATGAGAACGACCAACGAGCCGAAATGCGACGATTCTGTCTGCCATTAATAGAGTATCCTCTGAATAATGTTGATATTTACATCAAAGCCAAAATGCAAGAAAATGAATGTAAGCATTTCTTGACTATGAAATTGACATTTCTATAGGGACTCATATTTTGATAACGTCACGGTACCTGAAAATAATAATAGACCTATCATACAGGCAAAATCTTATTTTAATTCATGTGTTAAATGAAGACGCGTACAGCTGTGGCGGCTTCTTTGATGATTATCCAATCAACAATCTTAATCTCCTGACCACTAGCTGGCACTCAGGTGCTAATTAATTGATGAGATTAACTCTCACTAAAGTTATATTATACACAACAGACTACTAATGTATAGATTGTTCTTCAGTATAACACTATCATGTGAATATTATGCTGTATGTGTTGTGGATGTTTCGTTACGAAAGGAGTGCATTTATTACGATTTTCGTCGTCAGCACTCTTGAAATCCTAAATAAAAAACATATTAAACGACAAAATATAGCAAATAAATTGCAGAAATAGTCGGATCAAATTTTTACTACGATTTTCGTCTTCAGCACCCCTGAAAACCCATGGAAAGATATATTCAACGACAAAACAACAGATAAATGGCCTGGTTGCTATGGGATTTTGTTTTGGAACATACATGTACCAAATCTTTGACTTGCTTTTTCTCAAAACTTACTTTTGTGAGTTGGGTAGCTTCTAATGGACACAGCTCAGTCAATTTTTGCCCAATTCAAACAAACTATACATCAAATTAAAGGTAATGAGCCGGAGAATGTGAAAATAACAATAACTCAATTTTCAACTATTGTGACTCAGTCTGCTGTGGGGGGTCACATATCTTTTTTGGATTATGTCTATAGTTAATAAAAAGCCTAGACATAATTGAAGAGCTTTTATTTAACAGAACACAATTTTTATGGGTTACAATCACTAGTTTTATTCTAAAAGCATGACGTTTCGACAAGTATCCTCTTATCGTTATCCAGCTTTTATTTACCCTTGAAAACTTATTTTTCTCATTCAATACATGTAGCTTCTTGGAAATGTAATTTCTGCCGTCAAAAGTCAAGGGTTATTTTGTGTGCATGCCAACAAATCCACAGGTGCGCCCTCAGTTTTTTGTCCCATCCCAATGACTAGATGCTTTTTAATTGTCAGGCCCTACATCCTGCACTTTCTAGGATCAAATCTAGGACACCTGGTTAGTGAGCAAGCATTATACTTACTCACTTGTAAGCAATTGTATCATCAGAAACGGATGGAGAGGAGGCGCAATGCACTTATAATAAAGAGAGAGGGAGATTAGACAGAGTGAAATGGGGTTTAATGTCCACTCAAAACAAACTAGGTCATTTTGGTTCAATTTTATTGCAATAATTTGATTGCTTGTACGGGTCTTTAGCTGTGGGAGGAAACCAGAGAACTTGAAGAAAACACATTACGTTGGACAGACTACCCTTCTTCTTTTCACGTGTAAGCGGAGATTCGAAACCACACCACTTGAGTCAATGACAGACATTAACTAACGTGCAACCATTAAACAACTCTGCCAAGCAACCACCCCATTCGCACCTCTACTGGATCTACCAGTTTCCTTGGTTGTAAGACTTGATATGTTTCTAGCAATGTTAACATTTTTACTTTTTATGTCGATTTATAGCAATTCTCTCTCTCTCTCTCTCTCTCTCTCTCTCTCTCTCTCTTTTCACCCCTTTTGCATGGCGATTTTATATGATTTTTTGGTCTAGAATGGAAGAAGAGGGTTTGAATTAACATTTTCTGACAGGTTTTTCTAAATATTCATGATTTTGAAGCAGGAGGATAAGAGGTTGGTTGTACTGCGAAAAGTTACATGTAGTATGCTGCTTCAAGTTTTGGGTATCTCAAAATTTTGGTGGTCAACCTCATACAAAATTTGGTGCAAAGACATGACCATTTGTTCCTCTGTCAGTATGAAAAGCATTCATTCCACCGAAAATTTCGGGAAAAGTTGGAGCCAGGGGAAAAGTCAGAATCAGTGGGGGCGCCAGCCACCGGTGGTTGGGGGAGCAAAGTTCAAGGTTAAGGTGGCAAAGGTGCGAGCTTCAACTGGGGGTATTGGGGGTCTGTCCCCGATATTTTTGAAAAACAGACTGCCAGAAAAGCAGCCTGGCAGTATTTCAGGCACTGATCGACAAGATAAATAGATCTGACCAGATACTGCCTGTCGCCTGACCACTAGTTTATCCAATCAGAGTGAATCGTGTCAAACAAATGAATTTGCCAACCTCGACGAAGCCCCATCGCCAAAGTAGCGAGATTATTTTGAAATGCAGTCTTATAGTATTCAGGCACCGACTGTTGAGATAAATAGAGTTGACCTGATACCGCCTGTCGCCTGATCACTAGTTTATCCGACCAGAGAGGAAAATGTCAAACGAATAGACTTGCGAACCTCAACGGAGCCCTGAAAATTTGAAAAATAGGCCTGGCAGTATTTCAGGCACTGATCCTCGAGATAAATAGAGGTTACCAGATACCGCCTGTCACCAAATCACTAGTTTATCAGACCAGAGAAGAAAGTGTCAAACAAACGAAGTGAGTGAATAAAAGTGAATGAATATTTTTGCCACGATATTTTGAGAAATAGACTGCAGGAAATGCAGTCTGAGGCAGTATGTTGAGATAAATAGAGCTGACCAGATACTTTATGGCAACAAACCATTAGCTTATCCAAACAAAAAGGGATGTGTCAAACGAACGGAGTGGGTGAATCAAAGTGAATGAATATTCTTGCTGCGTTGAACCCATACCCAAAAACTTTGAGGATCGTATTTGTTTTTTTAAAATTATTGGGGGGGGGGGGGCAAATGGTGATCTGCCTCCAGATAAAACAATAAGAGTTGTCTTTCTTGCTTTATCTTCCATATCTTCGTTTTTTCAGAACTATTAAAAAAAAAAAAAAAGAGTAGTCTGATCAAAAATGAAAATATCGCGATATTTTTAAGAATTATCGTGATATATTGTGATAAAGCGATATTTGAGATTTCAGATGATAATTTTATCGCCCAACCTAATAATTATCGCGATATTTCACCATCCCCGGGGAATCGCGGCAACCTTATATGTAACAAGGGACTTGAAGAACGAGGCTAGACATATTCCACAAGTCATGTCAAACGGTGACACCATATTCTTATCAGGAGAGCATGCGCAATAAATACTATTTAGACTGGAATAACCTAGAGATTGGCATTCAATTGCCATATTTCGCCTAACATTACTGACTTGATATTAGAGTAAAAACGGAAACGATTGAATGTAAATCAGTTTATATAAATTCATATTACATTATTATATGCGCTGCGACCCATTTGTGTCAATTTCTAGGTCCCAAATATTAGCAATTTAGTTCCTTTTAGGGAATATTAATCATATACGTAACACGTATACATATAAAAAGAAAGAAAAAACAATAAAAATGTTGTTTTATTAAAAATAAAAGTTGTTTTTGGAAATTAAAGTTGCTTTGGGCTTTTGGGTAAATCTATGGACCCCAAATAATATATTTAGTTCATTTGTATAGTTCATTATTATTTAGGGGTCACGCTAGTTAGCCTAGAGGTCGGGTGTTCGATCCCTGCATTGGCCGAGAAAGTACATCCAGATTTTCCGGCGTGGTTTCCCCTAGAAATGGTTCAACTACTGATGTCTTCCATTTTGCTCCAGCCACAGCAGTGGACCGTCCTAAGGCCTTTCTTTGAGCAAGTTTTGTAGTCATTTGACTGGCCTATTCCCATTGAAATAAAGGTGAAACCTTACCGCATAATTATATGATTTGATTAAACCCAACTGCTATGCGAAATTTTTGTTAATTTTAAAATGGCCGCCAAACCAGAATCACACGAAAATACAGAAAGATAGGTTGCCAGGCAACAAAACATACGCCCACAGCAGCTTAATTGTCCGAGCAGTCGACAAGGGTTGTCGCATATTTATTCTTTTGTAGGTAATTAGGGGAATTTAATAGACAATTTCATACAGATGACATTATAATTTTTGTCGTTTGCGGGTTCACAAGGTTCTAAAAACTAAAACAAGGGCCGTAACTCTGGAAGTAATCTACTGAAATTGTTGAAATTCAACAGGCTTTTTTGTTTTACTAATTCAAATCATGCATATAAATTTCATACATATCGGATGATAACTTTTGTCGTTCGAACATTCACAAGGAACAACAAAGTGAAACAAGGGCCATAACTCACAGCGTAATTAACGGAAATTGCTGAAATTCAATAGGCTTCTTCGTTTCACTAATTTAAATGATGCATATCAATTTCAAACAGATCGGATGATAACTGTTGTCATTAGAGCGTTTACAAGATTCAACAAAGTGAAACAAGAGCCATAACTCTAGATGTACATGTAATTAACAGAAATTGCTGAAATTCAATAGGCTTCTTTGAATGATGCATATAAATTTCATACAGATCGGTTGATAACTTTTGTTGTTAGAGCATTCACAATGTGCAACAAAGTGAAACTCCAGAAGAAATTAACAGAAGTTATTGAAATTAAATAGGGTTCTTCATCTCACTAATGCAAACAACATATATCAATTTCAAAACAATCAGATGATAAATGTAGTCTGTAGAGTGTTCACAAGAAATTGTGGATGACGGACCGACAGGCGACAGACGGACGGGGGCGACGGCAATATACGACCACATTTCCATGTGGGCTTATAAAAACTGTTCGGTATGATAAGATTGAGATTTCTGTGTTCCACTCTTCACTATTTGTAACATACAGGGGCGGATCCAGGATTTTCAGAAAGGGGGGCATGCTGCCCCCACTTGGGAGTGCGAAGCCCAGCCCTCGGTGGGCGGACTGACGGGAAATCAACCAAGTCACCAACCGGCTAGTTTCAGAGTAAATTACGATTTCCAACCTAAACTATTTTTGTTCTCCTTTCCCCCGAGAATATATGGGACAAAAAATTGTTTAAAATTTTGCAATTGAACCTAATTTTACTCGCTCAAAGACTCAAATAATAGTGCATCAATGCTGCCGTGGATAAGAATTATCAAGGATACAAATTGCAGCTAGGTTCCCGCTTGTCATTGATGCAGGATGGAGGGCCTGACAAGGACAGCTGTCTAGTCGTTCGGATGGGACATAAAAAAGCGAAGTTCCGTGCACACATTATAGGCCTACTTACCTTGACAGTTTGACTTGGAATTCGATATATAACTTATAGGTAGTGCCGCTGTCTGGGCAAAATTTCCCTCATTGCACACTGTATGGCGTATGCCCGTATTCATTAGCTCAGTTCGGAGCAGAACAGTAGGACTTTAAACCCCATTTCATTTCATTTATTATTAGCATTAAGCGAACTTCTAAATATCCGGGGATCACGGTGGCTAAGTGGGTAAGGCGCTGGCTCGCTAGCCTGGAGGTCGGGTGTTCGATCCCTGCATTGGCCGAGAAAGTTCATCCAGATTTTCCGGCGTGGTTCCCCCTTGTCAGTGATGCAGGACGGAGGGCCTGACAAGGACAGCTGTCTAGTCATTCGGATGAGACGAAAAACCGAGGTCCTGTGTACACATTGGCGTGCACGTTAAAGATCCCTTGACAGTTGGAATTCGATATAAGAGTAGGCCGTAGTGCCACTGTCCGGGCAAAATTACCCTCATAGCACACTGTATGGCGTATGCCCGTCTTCATTAGCCCAGTTCGGAGCAAAACAGTAGGACGTTAAACCCCATTTCATTTCATTTCATTTCTAAATATCCGTCAGCTCAAAATTACTAAATTACTTTATAATAAGAGACTTGTTAATCAAGACTGCAAGTCCCTAACATCAATATAACAGATCGATTTAGTCATCCGAAAGTATTGCCATCATACATGCATGTACAGTATCAATATGTTATAGTACCAATACTAATATTCTTACATACCGTGTGAGTAATTAGTATTTGAAGAATTACAATAACCGCAGCGGTATCCTCCATGTTCCGAATAATATTCAACGATGCTTGGTTTCGTCTCCATGTTGACATCAGTGATCGAAATAATATGGCTAGATTCGGGTATCAACCGCGGTACACGACGGAAGTGCCTGTTCAAACAGAAAATGGTAGTTTAAAGTACCCAAGTCTCTAACTCAATATCATCCAAAGTCTTCGACATTGAAAACACGAATTATTTGTCAATTTAAATCAACATTGGTGTTGTGATCTTACCGGGAAAAGACGGGCTTCTGATATCCAATATTTAAAGTTGCAATTGCAAATTTTCAAGTTATATTTTTAAAATGTATTAAAATAAAGCCTTAAAATAGATGGTATCCATAAACAGTCCTACCTTGTTAAAGAATAATCCTATTAATCCTATAATTCGCTATTGCCAGCTGAGAAATTGGCAAAAATATCATTTTTAACTTCGAATTCCAATGTTGGAAAATGGCTGCCCCATGTTGACAATAACAAAACAGGGGAGGTAATTGTGTTGTTATTTCCTGTGTCATAGATTTTTAATGGTGGGAAATAATGCCCATGATCGTATAATAGTGATTTGATAACCTATTGAGCAAAAGACATAGAAATAATTATGTTTTGACTTTTTTTAGAAAATTTGAAATTCTCGCTTTAAGACAAAATAAACATATGTTACCATTGGTACACGAGTCGTGTACCATAATGCGTCCATTGCCATTTGTAACAAGGGACTCGAAGAACGAGGCTTGACATATTCAACAAGTCATGTCAAACGGTGATGCCATATTCAGCAGTAGGACGTTAAACCCATTTCATTTCATTTCATTTGGCGCCATATTCTTATCTGTGTGTGGAATAGCTTTATTTAACGTCCGCTTCCACCGAGGTGATAACTGGAGAGCATGCACAATAAATACTGTCGATGTAGACTGGAATAACCAGACGCTAGAGATTGCCATTCGATTGAGATTTCTGGCGTATTGCGCCGAACATAAATGATTTGAAATTAGAGTAAAAACGGAAACGATTGAATGTAAATCAGTTTATATACTTATTACATTATTATATGCGTTTCAATCTAATTAAAACACCGATCCTATTTCGTTTCGTTTTTATAGTTCAAAATTTCGTTTTACTTGTCTTTACTACACTTGGATCTGGAAGAGTTGTTATTAAATAACTCGTGTTCTGAATGGTGTCAGGGATAAGCCAATGAAACAGTCTGTTACGGCGAGCTTTAGGCGTGTTTTTCACGGAACTGTGGGTAATCCACTAGTAACATCAATGCTGATTGGTTAATCAAATGTCTGACGTCATAGGGTCATAAGTCGGTCTTTTGAGGGGAGCCACGGTGGCCAGGTGGTTAAGACGCTGGCTCGCTAGCCTGGAGGTCGGGTGTTCGATCCCTGCATTGGCCGAGAAAGTTCATCCAGATTTTCCGACGTGGTTTCCCCTTGTCAGTGGTGCAGAACGGAGGGCCTGACAAGGACAGCTGTTTAGTCTTTCGGATGAGACGAAAAACCGAGGTCCCGTGTATACATTAGAATGCACGTAAAATATCCCTTGGCGATAGTGCCGCTGCCCGGGCAAAATTTCCCCTCATAGCACACTGTATGGCGTATGCCCGTCTTCATTAGCCCAGTATAGGAGCAGAACAGTAGGACGTTAAACCCCATTTTATTTCGGTCTTTTGACCCCTGACGTGACCTATCGCTATAACTTGTCAGATCTTCATGTAGTGTAGGCCATCGAAAGTATAAAAAAACGAAAGGAAATATAGATCTGTATTTTAATCAGATTGGTTTATACTACACTAGGATCTGGAAGAGTTGTTATATAACAGGTGTTCTGGGTGGCGTGAGGGATTAGCCAATGAAACCATCTGTTACGGCGACTTCTTGGCGTGCCATGCACGGAACTGTGGGTAAACCACTAGAAACGTCAACGCTAATTGATTAATCAATGTCTGACGTCATAGGGTCAAAAGCCGCTCGTACGACCCCTGACGCGACCTTCCAGTACAACCGGTCAGATCTTCATGTAGTGCAGGCAATCGAAAGTATAAAAAAACGAAACGAAATATAAATCTGTATTTTAATCAGATTTATATGCCTTTCGGCCCATAATTTGTGCCAATTCTTAGGCCCCAAATATTAGCGATTTAGCTCCTTTATATGACTTTTCACCACCGACGACCACTGTGAAGATATTTATCACCACCGACGACATAATAATAACAATTTCAGTGAAAATATTTAAATCAGATTTATATGCCTTTCGGCCCATTTGTGCCAATTCTTAGGCCCCAAATATTAGCGATTTAGCTCCTTTAATATTAGTGTGACTTTTCACCACCGACGACCACTGTGAAGCTATTTATCACCACCGACGACATAATAATAACAATTTTAGTGAAAATAATATTTAATAGCCGGAAAAAATAATAAATATTTACAAAACCCAACAGAGGTTGTTCTTAACCCTTGTTAACAAGGGGTAATCTAAGACCCCAGATATAAATTGGTTTTTGAATGCCTCATTTTATTCAAACAATTTTATTCATATAAAGACTGAATAATAATAAATCAAAGTAACGAAAAACAAACAACATTTGAGGTATTAACAGTGAAGATATGAATTATAAGGTATTTTTGAAACTATAAAAATCTGCAAATAACTTTCCATGCAGAATCGTCTTATTTTGACGGGGTTGGTAGAATACCTAGATTTGTTTTCAGATCTAGATTACTAGAATGATCAATGCAATATCATCAGTAAGAAAGATTCCAAATACAAAGCTGGCACCGAGCGCAGAACAAATTAGACACTTGTAACCAGCAAAATGTTTAAAGGAAAGGGGTGGACCTCTAGTTTCCGATAATGTAATACTCTTAGTTTCTTGTCAAATGGCAGATGTTGCCACTGCCTCACTTCCGCTCTATTTGCAGCATTATACTCGCGTTAAGTAGACAATTAAATGAACCAGTTCACAAATGTTACGGATATGGTCGTGGGGTTCCAAAATACCCCTTGTTAACACACAAGGGTTAAATGCTTTTTCGGCGGTGGAAAGTCACACCCGTATAATATGACCTAGGAGTACTATAGTAGTAAGAAATTTTATTTTAATCCCTCAAGTTCATGTGTCCTCAAAGGACGATTTGACGCAATTCTATTCTATTCTATTCTATTCTTGTCGAACTGGCGAATAGGAATATGGCCATTTTTAATAAATAAATAGACTTTTTGTGGTTTTATATTCGGGCTCTTGTCCGATAAATTTCCAAGTTTTCTTAATACTCGCCGTGATCCAAACTAGCGAATAAACGTATTCGCCGGTTAGTTAGTAAAGTATACGCTTTATGACCCACGAGACCCTGGGCTAACAAACATTATTCGCCGGTTAGTTAGTAAAGTATACGCTTCATGACCCCCCACCCCCCGTGACCTTGGGCTAGTAAACAATTACTGACGAATCTTTTTAAAACCCATTTTTATCAGGTCGAGGGGGTGGGGTGTGCTAGAAACAATTCAGGAATTTCAAGTTTTTATGGAATAAAAATGTTTGTCCAGAGTAGCAGAGCAGCTAAATAGAAGACATCCCTGTCTTTTACATACCTCTGCTATTCAGTCATAGCATAGCGTTTATAATTTTCAAGTTTCTGAAAATCCGTGTTTTCCTTTTGTTTGCGACACTTCCCGTTTCTTCGTTACGCATCTAACGTAGCAAAGATCTCTGTGTTAAAATTATTTTTGGAATGTACCAGTTCTATATTTAATATTGGCCGACACCAACATTGTCCTTTAATTAGATGAGTTGAATTCAATAGCATGCATTTGGGCAGTGGTTCTTAACCAATGCTGCCAACGGCACACATTGGAACACATGAAAAAAAATGGCGGCACACCTGGCTAAATATATATGAAAAATATATGAATTTTGCCCCCTAACTTTCGGGCAGACGGGTAAAGTGAAAAAAAAAAAAATATTTCATGTAGTTGGCAAAATAATCTAATAACACACCAATTTTACTTTTCTTTAAATTTAATACCACGAATTTGTACTGAATTGGCTATAGATTGTCTGGAGTCACTCTACTTTGTGTGACATTTTACGGGCATCGTTTATGTTTTGTGAATGCAGCCGCAACAGTCTGATTGGATGGTTGGAATTCGGGTCGGCACAGAGAAGGATTTCGGTTGAAATACCACTCCGCCGGGCCTGGTGTTTACATAATTTCTCATTACGAGGAATAATGGGTACTGTATCTTCCCTTTTCAACTTCCGGTTTATGTGCACTTAGTCTAAATTTACTGAGTGCACTCCTTTCAATTTCATAAATATTTTTCCATGTTATAAGAATTCTTAATATTATAATAAAAATCATGTTTTGAATTTGATTTCATATGACCATTTAGATGCTGGATAGTCTTACTCTTGTCAGTGTGTTTCCAGGACTCAATATATATATCATGTAATCGGGTTTTAAATAAGTGTAGAAAGAATTCTGTATTAAAATTTTAATTTTTTGTGGCGTTATAGTTCACCCATTCGTGTTTCCTCTAGTATAATCTGGATATGACTTAGCCATATACCATTTATAACCGCCCGAACGTACCTTTAAATCTTGATCATCCAGTCAGAAGTTATAGAAGATTGGAAGATTGAAGAAAAGATGGCATCTTGCATACTGAAACGACTTTCATCCTCGAAAAAACAGTTATGTCTTTTGCTCAGATTAGAACCAACAGCAAAGAATCCTGCTGCCACCAGGCATCTTTCATTTACTTATCAACCTGAAACTGCATCAGCTGCACATGGTATGTAATAACAGATAATTATTTTAACCGACGTGAGAGTAGTAACTATCTACTTTGTGTATAGTTGGCCTAATACTAATCCAGAGTAGGCCTAGGTTATGGCTGTAGCCCACAATATTAACTTTTTTTCCTTCTGCTCTGCAGAATCACTGCAGATTTTTTTGTTTTTTTTGTTGAGGTATTAGAAAACTAGATTAAGCTGGTTGAAGTTTATCTGGATAAAAAATAATTATAGTATTATATAGCTACAAGAACATAACTAAAAACGCTGAGATGATTGAGATATACTGATGTGCTTGTTTTTAGCTACGATTGGATGCCTTTAGTTCCTTTTGGCAAGTGTCCAGGGGTCGCTTAGGTCCCGGAAACTCCTTGGGGTCTAGATCGATTTCCAGCTAATAAAATTACTCAGCAGTGAAGTTAAATTTTATTTCTTTTCTAAATCCCTTACCAATACCATGGTTTCCTGCGATACTGAACTTTACAATATATGCTTAATAATACCAAGGTTGTGGACACTCTAGAGTTCACAATTTTTATACGATATTTATGAAACTGACAATGTATGTTTATAATCGAAAGATCTCAGTTTCTTTCGATATTGGCGCATATAGGACCGTCACTTCCTATATTATAGATTTTAGCTTGTGGACCCTCTAGAGCTCACATTTTGTGAAAATTGGACCAGAACTGCCCGACAAAATGGCCACTACCATTAAAAGCATGTAATACCCAGGTTGTGTACCACCCAGAGGTTTGAATTTTAATCCAATTCGATATATCCCAAAGATCTGGGTTCCTTTTCGATATTGGTGCGTATTATGGACCATAATTTTCTGGATTATGACATTTTTAGCTCGTGGACCCTCGAGAGGTGGCCATTTTTATCTTTTTTTCAAAATCGTTCAACTATGTCATTGTTACATAATAATTATGGCCGAGTCTGAATTTCGTGAAAATTCACCGAAACTTTCAGTCAAACTGCCGCTCCCCTGTACGCAAATACCATAAAAGCATGTAAATGTCCAGGTTCTGGACCATCTAAAGGTCACAATTTTTATCCGATTTAGATGAAACTTAAAACGAGTATCACTAGTTCTTGGATGTGTTCAGTTTTGGTGCGCCATTGGCCCCCTGCCTTTTACGCAAAATGTGAAATATGAATGAAGTTTGTGGACCTTCCAGAGATGACAATTTTTGACCTATTTATGAGATGAAACTTTAGAAACTATGTGTTAAGGATCAAAAGAGTTCGACTTTGGTATACATCATACCTTACATTCAAGAGCTATATCCCCTGCTTTTTACGCAAAATGTGAAATATGTATGAACTTTGTAGGCCCTCCAGAGGCGGCTACAATTGTTGTCCAATTCTGAGGAAACTTAACAATTATGTTAAGGATCAAAAGATCTTGAATTAGAGGATGAGCCTTATTGATTTAACCTCTTCCCCATACATTTCTTTGCAAAATGTGGGTGTATCTTGCATGGCAACTGCTTGTTTCAACTGGTTATAACTGATAGCAGTGAATTATTTGATGGATAAGGGACACAAGGAAAAAGTGTGAGAAAAAATGTATCCCGCCGTTTTTTTATACGTTCATAATGTGGACGTATATTGCCGTCGCCCCTGTCTCTGTGTGTTGCCAACAGGCCGCAATTCTTAAAGATACATTAGTTAAAGGGCCAATCCAGATAATATGTTGGAGAATAAACTGCTTAATTTTGTGTTAAAATCCCTTAAAATCCCATTAAACAGGTTTCGATATAAGCATTGCACACATAAAATAAAATGTACACAGAATCAACCAAATCCAGCAATATCAATTCATTGTATACATTTGTTACATGTAAGTGATCCTGACAAAATTACATTACTTCCGGTGATAATGAAAATGTTGAATTAGTTTTATGAAATCAGAAATGGCATAAGGCATCACATGGTGAAAATTATATGTAAATCGAGTAATAATTGCCACTTTCATAGACCAAAAACCTTGATCAGTGACCAAAGGGCCGAGCAACTAACTCAATATTTGTGATACTTTTTCAAACAACTTAAACCTGTCAGTCTTCATCTGGAAATTGAGACCAGTGTATCAAACTGTATTATGCGGCTTATGGATAAACCAGACTTTTACTTTATAAAAATAATGTGTAGGTGAAAAATAATGTGTAGGTGAAATTTACCTTTCGTTATCAAGTACAGCACATGGGTCATTCATTGTATAGACCTCTAAAGAAATGGGAATCAATTATCCGGTCACCCAACGAAAAAATGACCAGAAATCTTAAAAGGGTAACGTATCCGGATAAGCATTTATGACGTTCACGTCCAAACGACTAAATATTGTGAGCTGAATTTTTGAGACAAGATAAACACATCATTCCTCTATATTTTGGCGTTTAAATTTTAAACGTACTCAGACTTTTATTTTTGAGACTCTGTTCAAATCAGGATAGTCCCTTTAAGAGTTTAATAAAGAGTTGGCCATTCTTGCTATAATTCAAAAATAGATGATAAAAAAAGAAAATATTGAAAATTTTGGTCAAATTACTTTATTCTGAATGGAGTTGTCACTGTTGGAAGTTTTCCATTTATGAGAATTGCCGATCGATTGATTGACAGACGATAACTCCCCCCACACATTGTCGGTTATCAAGTAACATTCTCAATGGTTATGGATGGTACCCTCGCTCGGTAGGCCTTTCATTGGCAGTCTCTGGTAGTGACGTCAGGGATTAACGGTAAAGGTTAGCTTGGTCGGCCATTTATTGATTTAATTTTAGATGGAAGACTGTTTAAATTCAAGCTGTATCCAAGCCATACAAGGTGTACAGAGTTAATTTTGAGCTTGTCATGTAAATAAAGGTCTAATTAATAATTTCTATAACATCTGAAGCCTAAATAAAGACTTGCAATAAGCAGATTTAGCTCTTGCATAATGTATGTTTAACTGATCGTCTTTGAACTTGACATACTTATTCTTTATACACTAAGGATGATCCCTATTGTTTTTGGTGCATGCCCAACCCCCAGGGGCAGGAGTACGCCCACTTTTTGTATTTGTTTGTTTGTCGTCTACAGGCCACATTTCGTAACAGATCCACAGTCATCCACTTCAAACTTTGCATACTTATTCCTTATACCCTAAGGATCATCACTATTGATTTTGGTGCATGCCCAACCCCCAAGGACAGGACCATACCCATTTTTTGTATTTGTTTGTGTGTCGCTTACAGGCCGCAATTCTTAATCGATCGTCTTGATAACTTTTCATACTCATTCCTTATACCCAAAGGATGATCTCTTAATTTTGGTGCATGCCCGACCCCCCTGGGACAGAGCCATGCTCAATTTTTGTGTCTGTGTTTCATCTACAGGCTGCAATTCTTAACAGATCCACTTCAAACTTTACATACTTATTCCTTATACCCTAAGGATCATCACTATTGATTTTGGTGCTTGTCCAACCCCCAGGGGCAGAGCCTGTAGTTTAGATAGAGTCTCTAATCCATAATCTACCCTGTAGTCTCTAAAACATGATGTACCCTGTAGTTCAGATAGTTTCTAAACCATAGTTTCGTAAATAGGAGGTCGATAGTTAAATGAATATGAATTTTACGATATGTTAATCTTGAAATGACATAGTTACTCTTAAATGAATATATTGTTAACACGCTTTAAATATCTGTGTGCAATAGACTTGCAATAGATGTTTTAATGACAATAAATCATACTTTAAGACTTAAAATGAATAGATACAGTTGGTTTAACTTGAATGTAAATATTAATTATCTATGTATAGAAACTTTCGGTTGAATCATATCATAAAAATATCTTATTTCATATAGTCTTACGTATTTGTCAACATCAAGGTGAACTTGTTCTATTTAGCCTATTCAGATTTGTTCATAGTTATGAATTTTCTTGTTTCACTTGACTAAACAAAACATTTTGTAGGAATGTAGGCTTTTATAGATTGAACATAAAGCCGACAAATGTTGAGTTGTGTGGAACATGCTCAAGGTGATTTGTAACAAATCTGAGACACGATATATGTTTGATACTGGTTGAGCATCAAAACAACATGATTCTTTTCATCGGAATTGGGGCGCAAATACCCAAAATAGTCAGACAAACTTTAAACCAACTGCGTCCCCTTCGCTGGGCCCCTTCAATGTCTGTCTACCTGTGGAATAACCTGTATTTGTATCTGGTAAATTTGTGCGGTTTATTTATTAGACAAATTAATACTATTATTTACACATATGCGGGGAGTGGTAACGTCTTACCCCAAACAAATTGCAAAAGAAACCAGGAAGTTTCAGAGAGTGATATCTCGTATCACATGACACTGATGAAACATATGCCCAAAACACATGTCGTACTTCAAGCAGGTTGGCGCTAGATAGGTTTTATTTAAATGAAACTGATTTTACACTGATTTTAAATGTTTCATCCATTAGTCAATTTAAAAAAATTTTGATTTTCGAAAAATTGATGACACAATTAATGATCGATGACTGAAAACTGACACACAATCCGGAATGGCTCCAGACCAAAAAATCATGGAATTTCAGGCACTTATTTTGCCAGCTAGAAAGCAAAAAGGTTTTATCTACCAAATTTTTATTTAAAGTTTGATTTTTCACCGTACCCGTCTGCACAAAAAGTCTGATTTTTAAAAGCGTATGCAAGTTAAATATATTTTAATAGCGCTTTTATCTGGTGTATCAATTAGACTAAATAACAATAATGTGCACTTTTTGTTGTATAATAATAACAATAGCATGTTCCTATAGACTCTTTTTAATCTATGACATATCTATCCACATCCCTGTCGAGGCAGCCAACTTCGACACAACAATATAATAGGGCATATAAATATAGATAGTGAGTAGGTACACTTTGTACACTTGACGTCATATTTTCATGATGTCATATGAAATTTCTGGTTTCACAGTTGTCACAACTTTATCTAGGTTGTGGACCCTCTAAAAGTCACCGTTTTTATCCAATCTTAATGATACTTAAAATATAGGTTTATATCCCAAAAAACTTGATTCTTTTCGATATTCGTACATATCGGACCATAACTTGATTATGGCCCCTGATTATACAAAAAAATCACGTTTTTGTTTAGCTTGTTCTCTGTCCATCTCTTGCAAAATGTGGGCGTATCTTGCCTGGCAACCGCTGGTTATTTTTATCCATATTTTTTTTTACAGTTTTTATTTCTTGGTTGTTGTGTTGGGGGGATTTTTTTTACCCTATTCTCCTCTTTGATAACCATGGGCCACCATACATATGTCACAAAGTATTGATTCCTGTAACTGATATTTCATAAATACATTCTAATATCTTGTTATTTAATACATAAAAGAACAAAAATGATGTACATTATTAATTTATATTTTTAGGAGAAACAACTCGCATGAATTTTTTCCAGTCTATTACAAGTGCTCTTGATACAGTTTTAGAAACAGATCCAACATCTGGTTAGTATTTTATAGTTATGTTATATAATTTTGGATTTGGACATTAAATTTTCCAGACATGAAATAAATGTGTGCTTGAAAAAGTAACAAAGCTAAAATTTTGAAATACTAAAATATCACGCAACAATGTTTTTATACGCCCACATTTTCATGTGGACATATATTGTTGTCGCTCCTGTCCGTCAGGACGTCCGTCCACAATTGTTTGTGGACACTCTACAGGTCACAATTTTTATTCGATTTCAACGAAACTTGAAATATAGATTTATCTCCCTAAGATCTTGGTTCCTTTTGATATTGGCATGTATCGGACCGTAAATTCATGGATTATGGCTCCTGATTATACGAATATCGAAAGGAACCGAGATCTTTGGGTTATAAACTTACATTTCAAGTTTCAACAAAATCGGATAAAAATTGTGACCTCTATTAGAAAGTGCACGAGGACCGCACTACACGTAAAACAAAAATCTACAAGATAAACCTGCGGACAAGACAGAAAATAGACATTGCACCAAACAAACAAATATCAAATCAAGTGAATGGATCCGGGGGCCAGCCGTAAGCGTCCACTGCGCTGTACAGTCCTGGGCCTGTAGTGACACAGACTTCACTCAAGTTTGAAAACAATCAGGAATACAATGCGACAGAAATAATGCGACCGATCTTGACAGTGGTCGTCTCCTCAATGGTGATAGTCTGCCAGTTGACGTCATGAGTTAAAACGTCGAACAATTTTAACAATTAGGGTTATAATCAGAATAGAATCTCGGGAAACGCGAAAATAATAAGTGTAGTGAGCAAACAGGAGCAAAACCCGACGAGAACATTCTGCAGTACGAAGGGTTAAAACTCTACTCTAATAATAGTAAGTGCAGGAGGACCGCACTGCATGTGAAACAAAAATCTACAAGATAAACCTTCGGACAAGACAGAAAATAGACATTGCACCAAACAAACAAATATCAAATCAAGTGAATGGATCCGGGCCAGCCGTAAGCGTCCACTGCGCTGTACAGTCCCGGGCCTGTAGTGACACAGACTTCACTCAAGTTTGAAAACAATCGGGAATACACCACAAGCTAAAAAAATGATTTTTCGACAGTCAGGGGCCATAATCCATGAAGTTTTGGTCCGGTACTTGCCAATATCCAAAGCAACCGAGATCTTTTGGAGATAAACCTATATTTCAAGTTTCGTAAAAATCGGACCTGTAGAGTGTTAGGGTGACCCACCATAAATAAATATCTCCATATATCTCGACAATTACGCCACAATACTTATATATATGCCAAGCCTCAAATCAGTTCCACACAATTATAGTCACTAAATAAACGATCATGTTGTACTTAATAAGCTATGGCCATTAATCACGTATAAATAATAGACTGAAAACTGGTTCCAAGAGTCGTCCATAACATCCAGACACTTTTGAGTAAAAGATAGGTTACGTGCCCTTGTTTTGAAATTAGTCTCGCTTAACCAGTCTATCGACCATTCTACGTCTGATTGACAGGTCGGGATAATCAAGACTACTTTTTTACGAAACATAACAGAAAGCTAGAACAAGAAATTGAATTTAGAAATAAGCACGTTAGGTAGCTCAACAATCGTTTTAAGAAGCTTGTAAAAGTAAAATGAAACTACTGCTAGTATCATGTTCTTGCCTAACCTGAGTGTTTCAGAGATATTATTTGTACTAAACCAAAAGATGCCGCTCTTAACGGTACAGTTAATGATAAAGCGATTTAAAAAATGAAACGAACGTAATTTCTAAATCTGCTGTAATAACCAAGAAGCTTAATTTTACTGCTATTCAAAATCGTCAACAATAAATTTTTTACGGCTGTAATAGTTGATAGATTTGTAGAGAATTGCACGTGCCATGGCTATTTATAGTATCATATTGTCAGAAAGTTGGTCTCGGCACGGCGAATGTGCACGCTTCAGTGGTAGTCTCGAACTATCAGCGGTGGACTGTATTTCTGTGAGTACATGGGCCATCCTAAGAGTGTCCACAAACAATTTATATTTGCGCATATCGGATTGTAACTTCCTGAATTATGGCCCCTGATTGTACGTAAAATCCCGTTTTTAGCTTGTGGTCCCTCTAGAGGTCACAATTTTATCCGATTTATGAAACATTTGAATATATCACCGTCACACCCTAATGATGGTTGAGATTGAATTTCATGAAAATCGGACCAAAACTGCCGGACAAAATGGCCACTCCTCGTACGCAAATAGTGTATAGATGGTATATCTAGGTTGTGGACCCTCTAGAGGCTACAATTTTGATCCAGTTTTGATGAAACTTGAAATACATGTTTATAACCCAAAGATCTTGGTTCCTTTTGATATTTGCGCATATTGGACCGTAACTTCCTGGATTAAGTGTTTTTAGCTTGTGGTCCCTCTAGAGGTCACAATTTTTATCCAATTGAAAAAAAAACCAATTGAATATTTCACCGTTACACCCTAATGACGGCCGAGTTTGAATTTCATGAAAATCAAACCCAAACTGCCAGATAAAACGGCTGCCCCTCATACGCAAATAGTGTAAATATATGGTACAGTATATCAAGGTTGTGGACTCTCTAGAAGTCACAATGTTGATCCGATTTTGATGAAACTTGAAATATATATTTATAACCCAAAGATCTTGATTCCTGTTGATATTCGCGTATATCGGATCGCAACTTCCTGAATTATGGCCCTTGATTGTATGAAAAATCGCTGTTTGTTTAGCTTGTTCTCTATCCATCTCTTGCAAAATGTGGGCATATCCTGCCTGGCAGCTGCTGGTTGAATTAGTGTGTCCCAATGTCCACAGGTTTGTCTAATGCCATTGGTTTTGTTTGCATGTAGTGCAGTCCACCTGCACTTACTAGTAGAATAGGGACTGGAAATGCTATTTGATAATTTCATTTCATTTTATATTTGATAATTTGAATTTTCTCTTCCTTAGTGTTATTTGGAGAAGATGTGGCATTTGGTGGAGTGTTTAGATGTACCGTTGGACTCAAAGATAAATATGGTAAACTTATTACATTTTACTTTTGCATGAATTATTAACAGGAAGTCTATAGCCAATTTGTCTGCTCCCACTGAATATGAAGGTTACGCTGTACTGTAGATCATAAGGTCTGTGATCTAGCTATGCAAATCATAGTTTGTATGTGACAAGGAATAGGTTAGCTTGCCTAACTTATGTGTTTTCTCCTTTTAATCCAGTTTTCTCTAATGTCTAAGATTCATTGATACTAAAGAATTATTGAAATAAAAATACTGAGTTGGTTTGAAAATGACCTGGTTAGTGTCTAGTGGACATTAAACCCCATTTCTCTGTCTCTGCCTCTTAGTTGTACATGTAATTAAATTTATATTTATTTCTTAGTCTATATTTCTTATGTTTTAACACAATTTTTACACATAATTATATGTATTATGAATATTTGATGGTTGTAGGAAAAGATAGAGTATTCAACACTCCATTAAGTGAACAAGGTATTGTGTCATTTGGTATTGGTATTGCAGCAGCAGGAGCTACAGCTGTAGCAGAAATACAGTTTGCAGATTATATTTTCCCTGCATTTGATCAGGTCTGTTATTTTTATGTCTCCTAATTTTTCTTTGTGAAGACATATTTACAGGGGTTTTTTTTTTGGTTAGATTTTGACTTACCAACATTGCACAGAAGATTAGAATAATTGTCCCCCGCCTTTCGAAGAAAGCAGTGGACTATTAAAATGGGTCTGTCGGTCTGTCTGTCCGCCCGTCCGTCATACTTTTTGGGACACAATAACTCTCTTTCTAATTGAGCTAGAATGCTCAACTTGGTGAAGCTGTTTATTAGGTCATTTCCTTGATAGAGTTCGAAGATGAGCATTTTCTGATTTGGGACATGATAACTTTAGTTCTAATTAAGTGAGAGTGATGAAACTTGGTGTATAGTTTCATTACATCAATACCTTGACTAAGTTCGATAATGAGCAATTTCTGCTCAGGGTAAGCAGAGCGATAAGCAATTTGATTGGCTGAGACTCTGGAATACAATATCTCTCCTTCTAATTGAACTAGAATGTTCAAACTTGGTGTAGGTTTTTAGTAGGTAAATGCCTTGCTGATGGAGTTCGAAGATGAGCATTTTCGTCTTAGGATAAGCAAAGATAAGCAATTTGATAGGTTGATGCTTTGGGACACGATAGCTTTAGTGCTAATTAAGTGAGAGTGAGGACACTTGGTGTATAGTTTTATCACATCAATACCTTGACTAAGTTCCATAATAAGCACTTTTTGCTTAGGGTAATCAGAGCGATAAGCAATTTTTGCTTAGGGTAATCAGAGCGATAAGCAATTTGATTGGTCGAGACTTTGAAACATGATAACTCTGCTTCTAATTGAGGTAGAATGTTCACACTTTGGTGTAGGCGTTGATTAAGTGAATGCCTTGATGGAGTTCGATGAGAAACATTGTCTGCTTACGGTAAGCAGAGATAAGCAATCTGATTGGTTGATGTTTTGGGGCATGATAACTTTGGTTTTAAATAAGTGAGAGTGATGAAACTCTGACTATAGATTCATTATATCATTGGTTCATTCCCATATCGCCGACTCGCCGAGTTTTAGGGGAAAAAGTTTAGTCGACGTTAGGGGGTTGAGTGCCCTAGAACAATAGACCCAAGCTGAAGGATAAAATTAATTAAGCAGATAATTTTGGGGGCATTTATTTTTTTATTAATTAGTGAGTAAGTTGAATTCTGATAAAAAATCAATTTAAGAGAACTATATATTAATAATGACTGGTCCCTGCCTCATTAACACTTTTAATCCGTTTTTAACCCATCAAAGAGTGCCGCGGTCGACCTGCCAAATTCTGATGAGTCGGCGATATGGGAAGACCCCCAGATCATTACCTTGACTAAGTTTAATTAAGTGAGAGTGATGAAACTCTTGAGTATAGATTCATTATCTCATTACCTTGACTAAGGGTAAGCAGAGATAAGCAAATTGATTTGTTGATGCTTTGGGACACAATAACTCTAGTTCTGATTAAGTGAGAATGATCAAACTTGGTGTATAGTTTCATTACATCAATACCTTGACTGAGTTCGATAATGAAAATTTTCTGCTCAGGGTAAGCAATGCGATAAGCAATTTGATTGGTCGAGGCTTTGAAAAAAAAATAACTCTCCTACTAATTGAGGTAGAATGTTCATCTTGGTGTAGCTTTTCATCAGGTGAATGCCTTGATAGAGTTCGATGATGAACATTGTCTGCTTACGGTAAGCAGAGATAAGCAATTTGATTTGTTGATGTATTTGGGCACGATAACTTTGGTTATAATTATGAGCCATGAAACTCTGAGTATAGATTCATTATATCATTACTTTGACTAAGTTTGATGAGAATTTTCTGCTTAGGCTAAGGATCGATAAGCAATTTGATTGGTCAAGACTTTGGAACATAACAACTCTGCTTTTAATTGAGGTAAAATGTTTAAACTTGATGTAGATGTTCATTAGGTGAATGTCATGACTGAGTTCAATGATTAACATTTCGAGCTTTAGCTAAGCAGAGCTAAGCAATTTCATTGGTCGATGCTTTGGGACAAGATAACATTGATTCTACCTGATAGAGAGTGATGAAACTTAGTGTATCAGTGATAATCTGTTTGATTGCTTGATACTTTTGAAAAAAAATAAATGTGCGATTATGTGTCATCTATTTATTTTGGGATTTCGGCGGGGGACACGAGGCTCACTGTTGGCTTGTTAGACTTATAGTTGTATGAGTATTATATTATGTTAAACCCCATTTCATTTCATTTATGGTAGTATATTCAACTTCTGAAATCCAGGCCCAAACCATCCTTATAGTTATAAAGTGACATGTGTTAGAACATTTGATACACTTAGACTGATACTGAAATCTAAGTTAGTAGTGACAGTTTTTCAGCATGAAACAATTAATAATAAATTTGTATTATACTTTTTATTGATTAATAATGCAGTTAATGTTTTATTTCTCTAGATTCACAATGAAGCTGCATACTTTAGATATAGAAGTGGAAATCAGTTTGACTGTGGTGCGTTAACTATTCGCACTCCAAGTGGTGCCGTTGGTCATGGTGCTTTATATCATTCTCAATCACCAGAAGCATATTTTGCACATATTCCAGGTTTAAAGGTAAGCTTGGTGTCACATTCTTAGAGACCCAAACATCGCTTCTTAACCGGGCGCACTCTTTTATGATTGCAATTATGCATCTTGCAATTTATCTTTGAGTAGCACTTTTCAAACCATAAGATATTTTAAAGTGTGTTGTTCAAACCCAGTATTATCCATAATAATCAATATTAAAGATACATTATTGGAGATTAGATAAAGAGCTGGCAGTTCTCACTATAATAGTTAAAAACTAGATAATGTAAAGGGAATTTGCTGAAAATTTCAGTCAAATGGATCCACTCTGAACCGAGAATTTAGCACTTGAATTTTGGGACTAGTCTCGATCATCATTACTAAAGTCGGTACGATAAAAAAAACATAGTCTTGATTATCCATTTTTTGATTTAATCATGAATCAGCATTGAGCAGCAGATCATATTATAATCCAGTAAATATCGCTGGCTAGTGATGACATCAAGAGTTGATTATGGTCTTGATAAGTTAATTAATGTCTAATTAATAATTTAGATAACATTTCAGGCCTAAAGCTAGAAAGACCTGCAATTGACAGATTTAGTGCTTGCATAATGTATGTTTAAAAACACAAAATAAAATTAAGTATTTCAATCAATACTGGTGTTGTTTTTGTAGTTTTCCCCTAATACACCAAGATATGTACTGCTAATGTCAACTTTTTTTTTAGGTTGTAATACCAAGAGGGCCAATTCAAGCTAAAGGGTTATTGCTTAGTTGTATCCGTGATAAAAATCCATGTATATTTTTTGAACCAAAGATATTATATAGATCAGCTGTAGAAGATGTACCATCAGGAGATTATATGATACCTTTATCAGAAGCAGAGGTTCTTGTTGAAGGTTTGTGATAAATATGCTCAGAAAATAACCACATGCAAATGTCATTTGGTGTTACTTACTATATACTTGATTAACAAATGTAATGAAATAGTGTTTAACGGCAAGCGGCCCTACGGCCTACACTTATTTTGATTTCCAATCATCAAGGGTTCTTTTACATGGATGTCAATGTGTACACACAAACTTAGTATTTCGTCCCATTTGAACAACTAGACCACTGTCCTTGCCATTCCTTCTGTCTTGCACCATTGACAAGGGTATACCACAGCGGAAAATTCTGAGGAACTTTCTCAGCCAACACCAGCGAGCAAAACTTAAACCTCCTGGTTAGCGACACACAGTTAATTAACAGAATACATCCTCTTTGCTTCGATAAAAAGTTAACTACTCCATTTAATTAAATTAAATGTGTTGAATTGTTTTGTGAAGTATGTATTAATATCAAATTTTGGTTTGTATGATACTCTGAGACAGTTTTGAGATATAACTAGGTTGATAGTTTAAAAATACGTTCCCAGAAAAGTATTTATCGGGTGGTTATGTCCAATAAAAGTTTGATATATATGGAAAGTAGAAATATCCAATATTACTAGAAAAATACTGGATTCCCTGAAAAACACTCATAGAGCGTATACAGGACAAAAATATAAGGGTTCCCCTAATCCACAGCCCGTCGATTAGGAATATCTGCAAGCGTGACGTCAAAGGTTGCACGCGGAGATTGATAAACTTTATGAAGAGTTAGACGTACAACACTTTCTGAGATAAAAATCACGGAAAAAGACGCAGGCAGTGGATAATCCGAGAATTTAATTAGGATTCGATATTTATAATAAATAGACAGCGATTAAAGACAACATCTTCTTGTGTATACAATGAATTCTCTTCCGACTTCGCACCCGTTGCTAGGTACCGAGAGAGGTAAGTCACGTGACACAAACATGACCTCTTTTGATCGATTTTTTATAGCAGGGGTATTCGTTGGCAATTACAATGTTTTAAGAAGGATTTGCAGCAAAATTATGATGAATTAATTAGTTTGAATAATTAGTAAACAACCTGACTTAAGTTTAATCTTTCAGAATGAAATTTTTTTATCATTTAGAGCTTATCCAGTCAGTTATCAAACAAACACATTTGATTAACTCTTACTGGTAAATCAAATTCACTTAGTATGGGGTTTACGTCAACTTCTTCTCACAATCAAAAAGGTTTAGCTGCTTTTATATGATTGAAGGCTTACTTGTCATTTCTAAATTTGCTATATTTTTTTTTATTTCAGGAAGTGATATGACTTTAGTAGGATGGGGCACACAAGTTCATGTGTTACGAGATGTAGCTTTGATGGCCCAGGAAAAATTAAATATATCTTGTGAATTGATAGATCTGAAGACAATTTTACCCTGGGATGTTGACACAATAGCTAAAGTATGCTTTTAAACTTGTTGACTCATGGAATAATATACATTATAATTTATTTATTAAATTTGAAAATTTCTGTGTATCTTGAACCTACATTTTTAAATATGTAGGGTATTCAGGACTCTAATTTTGTTCATCTTTGTCAGTCATAACTGGCAGACTGATTGACATTGAAATATACCGGATTAGAATTTGACCTGCCAGTAAGGTTATGATAGGAATTTCTAGAATTTACAACAAAATGAATTTCTGGCCAATCTAAGGTAAACAAAGTTTACACAAAACTTTAGTTAAATTTGGTTAAGTATGAAGATAGTATTTGTCACTGTGGAACCAATCTGGTAATGGTTGTAATAAATACAACTATACTATCTTCATTAGGTCTTTTCACTCTGTCTGAATCGTTTTATGATTCATTTTAACTTTATATTATATAAAGTGTTGCCTTTCCCTACCTTATATAAGGGTCGCCTGTCCAACCTCGTGGGTTTTCTCCGGGTCCTCCGATTTCCTCCCACTGCTAAAGACCCCTACGCACAAGTGAATTATTGAAATAAAATTAAACCATATGTTAGTCCCGAAATCACCTAGTTTGTGTCGAATGGACGGTAAACGCCCATTTCTCTCTCTCTCTCCCTACCTTATATTCAGTTGTTTAAAGATACATTATGTAAGAATTAGATAAAGAGCTAGCCAATCTTGCTATAATAGTTCAAAAATAGATAATGTAAAATGCATAATTTGAAAATTTCATTCCAATTACTCTATGGCGAGCGAAGATATTAGCCTTTGAAGGCTAAGTCTCGCTCCTCCATTTTAAATTAAATTAAAATATGGCTGAACTGTTCTAATCTATTAAATATCAGAGAAATCTGATGCCATCGAGAGTTGATTATGGCCTGGATCAGTTAATTAATGTCTAATTAATAATTTAGAAAACATTTCAGGCCTAAAGAAAGACCTGCAATAGGCAGATTTAGCTCTTGCATAATGTATGTTTAAGTAGTTGTCTTGAGCAATATAAGGTTGATTAAATTATGTCCAAACCATATATAGGTATGTTTTCATTTCTTAATTGATTTTTAATTGTCATATTTTCCTTTTTTTCAACTTGTGCCATTTTAATGTGTGTTATTATTACCTAAATTGGTTTATATTATATTTTGTATAATTACAGTCTGTTGTTAAAACAGGGAGATTATTAATAGCACATGAAGCACCTATAACAGGTGGATTTGCTGCAGAAATAGCTTCAACTATACAGGTACTATTATGGTCAATCTAATTGGAGAGTGACAGACAGTATTTGATGGATCACCACCTTTCTGTTTTAATTTGAATTTTCCTAAAGCTGATAAGTGAACTAGTGTCTCAAAAATTTGATGATCTGTCTGATCAAATTGAAAGATACTATTTGACCCAGAAAATGAATTTCTTATTAAACATGTCTCCATATGTTAAATGACTGACTGTCAAATAAATAGCATGAAAATGACTGACCATCAAATGAATCGCATGAAAAACACATCGAGTTTCTCATTTTTACCATTAAGAATTTAGACCACCTGATCTTGTCAAATTCTATTGCTGCCACTAGCACCTCAAACTAATTGTGGCTATACAAGGAGCGTATACTATTTCTTTGACTTGCGGTTTGAGGTTGGGCTATGAAGCAATAATTTTGGTCAGTTTCATAGAACAGGAGTGTTAAATATTTACATATAACAAATGCTAAAGGGCTAATGTGGTCTAATAAGACACAAGATACTCTTATAGTGTAGAGCTGGGAAGCGGTGAAGCGATTATCATTAAGGAACTCATGGCTGCCGCTGCACCCTTCAATAATCAATCATATAACATCAATGTGGTCAACAATCAGCTTTTCGCATATATCATTTAATTTAAGATATATTAATGTCTGAAGAAAAATGTCCTAAGTCTTGATGATTCAGCCGCCTATATCTATATTTTAATTTCTTAATAGTGAACAATATTTTCTTTTCTCTTTTCAGTCTGAATGTTTTTTAAATCTTGAAGCACCTATATTACGGGTTTGTGGCTATGATATTCCATTCCCGCACGTATTTGAACCATTCTATTTGCCAGATAAGTGGCGATGTTTTGAAGCTGTGAAGAAATTGTCTAGTTATTAAAGCGGGTGTGTTCAAAATATAGATATAGTGAATATAAATATAAATATAGTGATTATATACTCTCTAACAACTATGTAAATAACAATTACATATCGGAACTCGGTATGCTGTGTAAACTAGTAAATAAATATATATAGATAGGCATATTCAATTGAAAAATGGTATGTATATATGTACATGTTTTGAGATATATTTTGACTACAATAAGTGCATCAAAGAATGGACAGATACAAAGGTAAGAACTGTTCGAGTTTAAATGTTGTTTGATTTTGATTTCTCTTTTGAAAGATTTATTTTTTCTTTGCTTCAGTTATTTTCATATCTTTGCTGAGCTGGCAAAAGGTTGTTTATTTGTTAATTATTTTAGTATCTTTTAGATACATACTTTATTATAAATATAATTTCTTATCCCAACTATGAGTTTAGGTAAACATTTACACAAAACCTCGTGTTTTAGGATGTGCAAATAGCTAAAATACAGATGAGTGAGGTCAAACTTCTTTTACAGATACATTTATTGATGATGTAACTAAGCATCCATGAGTTCACTCTTCTTTGTTGTATAAATATATAAGAGTGTCATAAGCTGGTGAAACACAATAATAAAGAAGGGATTAAATAAAAACATTAGCAAAGGATTATTAAATAGAGTTACCTCCCCACTTCTGAGAGGCATAATTAATTTTGTTCTCATTATAGATTTTCTAAACACAAACGTACAATTAATTTATTTTATCACCTTTTAATAACAAGATTTTTAAAATCATGATTATTCATAAATGCTGATATGATATTTGTGTTTCAATATAAACATATAATATGTATTTTTAAAGATACATTATGGGAGATTAGAGAAAGAGCTGGTAGTTTTCAGTATAATAGTTAAAAACTAGATAATGTAAAGGGAATTAGCTGGAAATTTCAGTCAAATTGATCCACTCTGAACCGAGAAATTAGCGATTGATTTTTAGGCCTACCCTTGATCATCATTACTATGGTCCGTACGATAAAAAACATAGTCTCGATTATCCATTTTTTGATTTAATCATCAATGAGCATTGAGCAGCAGATTGGATTCCAATCCAGTAAATATCGCATGCTAGCAATGACATCGAGAGTTGATTATGGTCTGGATAAGTTAATTAATGTCTAATTAATAATTTAGATAACATTTCAGGCCTAAAATAAGACCTGCATAGGCAGTTTTAGCTCTTGCATAATGTATGTTTAATAAAGAATTCCACTATGATACAGTATATATAAAAAGATGAAAAGCAGCAAAGAATGGATACCCATGTATTTCCAAATATAGAGTAGTATAATATATTATTTAGTGTTATTAATGTTTTGTTCTGTTTTTGTTGAGTTTTTTTTTATATTATTATTTTGGGTGTTACTACTATGGCAATTCTATTGTAATGAGGTTAATCAATCTTATTGTGAATCTCTATGTAGGAGTGTATATTGTTTAATAATCAATATTCATTTATTTTAAATTATAGGCTTAGCCAAATTACCAGAAAAGCTGATAGTATAGTTTTAAATTTATTTTCAATAAAATCTATCTAGTTTTACTACTCCTGCTTTGTTTTGAAATCCTTGAACAAAAACAGATTTTTGTTTCCACAGTTTGTTCATATTACCCTAGATCAGTGGTGGGCTAAACACAAAGTTTTGAAACAAATGTCATTTTATTGAATAAAGTAATATGGAACAAAGTACTTTATTTTTAACATTATCCTTATTAGGCACATTAAAAAAAATGAATTTAGTGGGAACAATGGTACTGGGATTTGTCAGACAAACAGTTTTATAGTCAACCTCTATATCAACCTTTCTGCGCTTTTTATTTGACTCCATAGTTATATTTAGAGAAAAATCAAAGCATGTCAACAAATCAAACAATAACATAAAATGAAAGTAGGCCCAAATCAAGTGACATCAATTAGGCAACTATGTCATTGAGTGACGCTGCAAACTATAAACAGACCTACAAAGATTATTGATCCTTACAGAGAGTAACGCCTGTTTAGAGTTTGAGCCCAACAATAAGCAATTTTGATTTTTTATTTCATTTAGAGATAAAATTTCTCATAAATTTTCAGATGTAGTGGAAGGGTCTGGCGGGCCGCATGACACGGCTTCGCTGGACAATGGGGTGAGAGTTTAGTTACCCTTAGTCTTATTTCTGACATGGTTTTTCTGATCCGCTTTATCAGAAAGGGTTAATCTTGTTTGGTTCATACATGTTAATTTGAATTAAAAATATAAATGTACAACGATCTGAGCTTAAAGTTACAGGTGGACATAAGTATTTTGGATCGAATGTAAAATTAAGAATTTATTGTATTAAAGACGTATAATGTGAATGTAAATACAAAATTTATTATGAAGTTGTCGATTGCCTTTTGTTGTTTTTATATGCCCACATTTTGTCGTCGCCCCTGTCCGTCCACAATTGTTTGTGGACACTCTACAGGTCACAATTCTTATCCGATTTTAACGAAACTTGAAGTATAGGTTTAACTCCAAAAGATCTTGGTTGCTTTTTATATTGGCATGCATCGGATCGAAACTTCATGGATTATGGTCCCTGATTGTACTAAAAATCACGTTTTTATACGCCCCTGTCCGTCCACAATTGTTTGTGGACACTCCACAGGTTACAATTTTTATCTGATTTCAACGAAACTTGAAATATAGCTTCATCTCCCTAAGATCTCGTTTCCTTTTGATATGGGCATGTATCGGACCGTAACTTCATGGATTATGGCCCCTGATTGTACGAAAAATCACGTTTTTAGCTTGTGGACCCTATAGAGGTCACAATTTTTATCCGATTGTGTTGAAACTTGAAATGTAAGTTTATAACCCAAAGGTCTCGGTTCCTTTCGATATTCGCGAATATCGGATTGTAACTTCCTGAATTATGGCACCTGATTGTACGAAAAATTGTGTTTTTAGCTTGTGGACCCTATAGAGGTCATAATTTTTATCCGATTTAAAAAAACGTTTGAATTTCGTAAAAATCGGACTAAAACTGACAGACAAAATGGTCGCCCCTCGTACTCAAATAGCGTAAAAATATGGTATATCAATGTTGTGGACCCTCTAGAGGTCACAATTTTCTTCTGATTTTGATGAAACTTCATGGATTATGGCCCCTGATTGTACGAAAAATCGCGTTTTTAGCTTGTGGACCCTATAGAGGTCACAATTTTTATCCGATTGTGTTGAAACTTGAAATGTAAGTTAATAACCCATAGATCTTGGTTCCTTTCGATATTCGCGCATATCAGATAGTAACCTCCTGAATTATGGCCCCTGATTTTATGAAAAATTGCATTTTTAGCTTGAGGTCCCTCTAGATGTCACAGTTATTATCCGATTTAAAAAAAACGTTCAAATGTGTATCACTGTTACACCGTAATTTTGGTTGAGTTCGAATTTTGTGAAAATCGGGCCAAAACTGACGGACAAAATGGCCACCCTCGTACGCAAATAATGTATAGCATCTGGTATATCAAGCTTGTGGACCCTCTAGAGGTCACAATTTTGACCCGATTTTGATGAGAGTTGAAATACATGTTTATAACCCAAAGATCTTGGTTCCTTTTGATATTCGCGCATATCGGATTGTAACTTCCTGAATTATGGCCCCTGATTGTACGCACAATCGCGTTTTTAGCTGATTTAAAAAAAACGTTTGAATATATCTCCGCTACACCGTATTGTTGGTTGAGTTTGAATTTCATGAAAATCGGACTAAAACTGCCAGACAAAATGCCCCCCTGATGGTACAAAAAATCGCGTTTTTAGGTTGTGGTCCCACTAGAGGTGACAGTTATTCTCTGATTTAAAAAAATGTTTGAGTATATCACCGTTACAACGTAATGTTGGTTGAGTTTCAATTTCGTGAAAATCCTACCAAAACTGTCAGACAAAATGGCCGTCCCTCATACGCAAATAGTGTAAACATCTGGTATATAAAGGTTGTGGACCCTCTAGAGGTCACAATTTTGATCCGATTTCTATGAAACTTGAAATGCATGTTTATAACCCACAGATCTTGGTTTCTGTAGATATTTGCGCATATCGGATCGTAACTTCCTGAATTATGGCCCTTGATTGTACAAAAAATCACGTTTTTAGCTTGTGGTCCCTCTAGAGGTCACAATTTTTATCTGATATAAAAAAACGTTTTAATATATTACCGTTACTCTCTAATGATGGTTGAATTTGAAATTCGTGAAAATCGGACCAAAACTGCTCAACGAAAATGGCCAACCCTCGTACGCAAATAGTGTAAATATATGTTGTATCAAGGTTGTCGACTCAATAAATCTCTGTTTCTAACTGAGCATAAATGTTCAAACTTAATATAAGTGTTTATGTGACTGTCTTAACCGAGTTCAATGATGAGCAGTTTCTGCTTAGTCTAAGCAGAAATAAGCAATTTGAATGGTTGATGCTTTGGGAGACGACAACTTTGACTCTTATGGGGAAGAATGATTAATCTAGGTGTCTCATTTCACTACATCAAAACTATGACCAAGTTCGATCATGAGCATTTTTTGCTTAGACTATTTATAGTTAAGCAGCTTGATTGCTCGATGCTTTACAAAAAGATTAATGCGCAATTAATTAACATGTGTTGTATATTTATTTTGGGATTGAACCTCACTGTTGACTTGTTTAGTCTTAATCTCCTTTCAATTTAAGAGTATCCTTGAGTAATATTATTTGGAAAGGTTGCAGTCACTCAAGAATGATTTATTCATTCTGACATCCAGCCCTGAAAATAATTATTTTAGTTGTACCTGACAGAATGGCAAGCCATATGAACTGTTACCTGACAATTTGAACTTTATGTCTGACATGTATTATAAATGGGCGGGTTGGGTGGCCGAATGGTTAATGTGTGCGCTTGCATCATAAGGTCTGTCATCGAGTCAAGTGGCTTGGTTTCGATTCCCTGCTTGTATGTGATAAGGAGTAGGTTCACCAGTGCAACATCATGGGTTTTCTCCAGGTCCTCCGGTTTCCTCCCACTGCTAAAGAACCCCCACACGCAAATTGAACCATATGTTAGTCCCAAAATGATCTGGTTTGTGTCGAGTGGACGTTAAACCCCATTTCACTCTCTCTATCTCTGTATTATAAATGTCATTAAAACATGGGTAAAAGGCAAGTCTATGACAGGCACCAAAGTATGAATTTGTGCCTGACATTGTGTGTGATAGGTGGTTTATTTCCATGTAGTCTGGTGGCTGAAGGTGGGAAATCGCCACCCGAGCTGTGAATTTATGAGTCCAAGATTGTCTAGATCAGTTTTAGATTCCGAATCTGGGAGGTGATCAGGCGGTTGAGGGGGGCTTTTTTGAGATATGGGGGGTCCAATGTCTACAATTGTGGGAAAATGTCATTATGTTGACATATTGGTAAATGAAATAAATGATGATCATGTTATATATTAATAAAACATAAATTTCTAGGACTGCCCATCTCTAAATAAGTGTTTATGATGCCCCTGAACAGCTATTTTGATTTGTGGCAAGGTGGGGTGGGTGGTTGCAAGTGTTCATGTGGAAGTGTGGGGGGGGGGCATAAAATTGTCGGGAAATGAGTTCACGTTGATGTAAATGATGATTTTCTTAGAGTTTGATGTTTGTCTATGATATCACCCATGGTGGAAGTGGACGTAAAACTCTAGGAAAGAAGAAGAAGAGCTTGATGAAACATCTCCAAATATGTTTATAAGATTCCTATGTGGGGTTATGTGCCAGGGTGGGTTGCCGTGGGGCAGGGGCAACATGTTTTTTTGTGGATAGAAATCTTTTGGTTCAGAATGGAGCTTAAAAGTGGTTTCTCATTAGCTTTTTCGTTCAGTACCCATTTCATCATTCAAAATATTAAATTATAATGGTACTTTTCAAAATGTAAATGTAAATCAAAAACATGTTTAGATATTAGCTCATCCTTATAGTCTAGATATTAGTTTATTCTTAGTCTTCATCAGAAGATTCAAAATCAAAAGTTCATAATGTGAGAGAGATAAATATGTTCTTGGTTGCTGAGCAACAGCTTGGAAAATCCTTTGGATATGCTTCAGATACCAATTCAAATTGTAACTCTTCATTCCAGCCATGCAGCAAAAGACCATTACGGCAAGGTGGTAATAAAGAAAGGTCTTGTTATTTTTTCACCCAGAAAATCTTTCTTCTAGTGTCATCTACTGATGTAAGTCGCTGGTTTAGAAAAAATTGTTTGTACCATGTACGGCGAAAGGCAACTTACATCAGTAGATGACACTAGAAGAAAGATCTTCTGGAGGAATTTTAATTGTGATGAAAAATAACAAACCTTTCTTTCTTTATTACCATTTTGCCTGAGTAGTCTTTTGCTGCACATTAAACGCAACAATTATGTTGCAACAATATGGAGACGGGCTGCAAAAGCAATGATCGAACAAGATGACCCTGCGATACAAGGCTGGAATGAAGATTTACAATGTGAATGGGTATCTGAAGCATATCCGAAGGATGTATGCGAGATGTTGATCAGCCATCAAGAAGATATCTATCTCGCTCATATTCTGATGAAGACTATAAGGATAAACTAATATCTAAACATGTCTCTGATTTACTGTGTTTTTTTAAGTATATTTTCAGATCTCTTGAAAAGTACCATTATAATTTAATATTTGGAATGACCAAATTGGTATTGAACGAAAAAGCTAACGAGAAAACACTTTTCAGGTCAATTTTGAACCAAGTGGTTTATGTCTCCAAAAATACATTTAGCCTTCCACCCCATACAATGGTAATCGTATACACATATTTAGAGATCTGCAGTGGAATTAAAAAGTAATGTTTTACCAAGCTCTAAGAAAATCATCATTTAAATCAATGTGAACTCATTTCCTGCCAATTCCCTCATCCTTTTCACACACGCACACCTGCTACCCCCAACCACCCGTCCACACAAATCAAAACATTTGTCTAGTGGCATCCTATACACTTCTTTAGAGATGGACAGTCCTAGAAATTTATGTTATTATTAATATACATGATTATCATTTATGTCAACATAATGACATTTCCCCCCATATCTCAAAAAAGCCCCTTCAAACACCTGATCACCACCCAGATTCGGAATCTACGCAAAAAACTGGTCTAGAAAAACTTGGTCTCATAAATTCACAGCTCGGGTGGTGATCCCTCCCCCACCACTTCAGCCACCGGAGATATGGCTTAATGTCTGACCAACACAAACTATACACTGAACTATAACTATGCTCACTTTCCAGGTCAATGCTGCAGGCTGACAAGTGAAGTCTAGGCTTGAGGGAAATCTTTCCAGGACAGTAGCACTGAGGCCTACTCTCATGAAGTGTGC